TATTCACATTTTTAGCTTAGCTTGTAAGAATGCATATCATGCCCTTTGAGCTCAAAAATATTGGCGGTGCGGTGAGAATGAGGCTTGTGCTTCACTTGACATTATATCTTAAATGAGTGACAGCCAGCCAGATAATATCCTGGCATGTTGCTATGAGGACACTGATGGGCATACTGTAGATATCACACTACTTAGTTGTGACTTCTATCAGTCTGATCTGATCAAGAGCTACTCTTGATCAAAGCTAGGAAATGCTTAATAAACAATACAGCAAATCCATCCTTCTAAAATAACACCCCCCCCAATCAACAGATTTGCTTGTTGGACAACAAATTGCAGAAACTGCGGCTGAATGTGTAATTCTGTCCAGTGATTAATTGAAATCTTAATTGGAAACACCATTAAAATGTGTTAAAAATGTGTTTAACAGACAAAGTCCAGCTAAATATTAGAAGGTTTTGTTTGAGTAACACCTAAAATATAAGATTATTTTTTTTACTTTGATTCAATTTTTTTTTTTGCAAACTTTGGCAGAAATAGAGCAACCTTAAGGCTAGGAAACTGAGCTCTTACAGTAAGTAATACACACACACACACAAAATTATTCTTTCATGTTTATTAAGCAACATGAGAGTTTATGTAATCAAACACAGCCCTCTATTGGTCAGAATGATTAATTCAACCTTCCCAATGCATAAAACATAAAGCAGTTCTATGATGGTATATTAGATCAGGGGTCGCCAACCTATTGAACCTCAGGGACCACCAAACTCATAATTTTAAATCCCGTGGACCACTAATATGAATTTTGACTGACAGTGGCTTGCTGAAGTTTTCCCAGGGTCTCTGCAAAAAGCAGCAGAGACCCTGGGAAAATCCCCAAAAAAGTCTGCAGGAAAATTCCCCACCCTGATTTCCTACCGATTGATCATTATTTGAGATCGCAGGATACCGTCCAGCTCTGTTCTCAGGGAGAGAGAAAGAGAGAGAAGAGACTTTTGGCTTCATGCAAGGAAAGCAGCAGAAGTCTTTCTTTCTCTCTCCCAAACTCCACCAGAAATGAGTCTTCGTGAGACCTGTTGCACTGGCGCAGCCTCTTGGAGCAGGATGCCTTGCAGAGTCCCAAAGATTCATTTCTGGCGGAGTTTGGGGAAGAGAAAGAAAGACTTTTGCTGCTTTCCTTGTGTGCAGCCAAAAGCAGAAATAGAAAGAAGCTGAAAGAAGCAGCCCGGTGGCCAGGCCAGGCACGTGGGGTGAGTGGGGCAAATTCCCCCCTCACCCCTTTCACCCCTCCCCTCACTACCTCGTGTTGTTCGCAATGGCAAGCGACACAAGCCTTGTATTCCCGCTGGCCATGTAGGTGGAGCAGACTTGTGTTCCCGTGCATCCTGGATTAATTGCTTTGGGGGTGTGCTTTGGGGGTGACATTTCTCTGCAGACCAAATTTTTCTCATGAACCACCAGTGGTCCCTGGCCCACTGGTTGGCGACCACTGTATTAGATTATTTAAGATATTCTTTATAAAATAAAAAGCCTATAAAGTATTCTTATCGGTATACTAAATTAGAAGTCCAAGTGGAATTGAATATAGAATTAAAAGATTTATATTTTTTTTTAAAAGCCATTTTTGTAACTGTATGTATGCCATATTTGTGTAGATTTGAAATAATATTTATCACTATTTATCTACTGGCTACTTTGTAACCTTACGTGACTTGTTAACAAGATAAGATCTTGATGGATTTAGCCAATTGTTGGTGATGTGGCAATCAAAATGCAATCTGATGTTATATCATGTAATAGAGTATTCTACAGACTTCCTTTTGGATATTTTTCTTTTTAATTTTGTTCTCAAAGATTACTGCTTTTATAGATGGTAATATTTTATATATTATATGCTATTCAAACTTAAAGCGGGACAACAGAAACAACTATCTGTCAACTCATAAAACATTTTGTATACACATTTTATAGTTGACAACAGAAAGAAGGGGGGGGGTTCAAAGAACAGACAGCAGTGTGGAATTGAAAATACATTCCATTCATATTTTTTTCAAAGACTGATTAGATGACTGAAGCTTCTGCCATGAAAAAATCTAATTGGAGAGCATGATTGATGACTCTTGGCTATGGACATTTTTCATTGAATGATACACCTGGGGCGGAGGGAAGCAGGATCAAGGATGACAGTGAATTACCTATCTCAGAGTTGGCTACACCCAGGTAAGTTCCGGATGTAGAATGTTAACTTCAAATAAATCTTTTTTAGTTTTGGGAGTGTGGCTCGAGGCTCATGATTTAATTAGAGTAACTGCTGGAATCCTGACACTATAATTTGTGACAGTGGTGGGATTCAATTTTTTTTTACTACCCATTCTGTGGGCATGGCTTGGTGGGTGTGGCAGGGGAAGGATACTGTAAAATCTCCAGTCAGAGGTGGTATTTGCCAGTTCTCCAGACTACTCAAAATTTCTGCTAACAGTTCTCCAGAATACCACCCCTGGTTCTGCTGAATACCACCACTGATTTGTGATTGCAGGATACTGCAGCCATTCGTACCTGCAAGTAGTTGCCAAGGGCCAAAATCACCATCACATGACCCTGGTGACATTGCGGTGGCTGAAACTCTCAAGGACCAGTCCTCACCATTGTAACTTTGAACAGTTGCTAAATGCGGGTAAGTAATTCTAACCCAAGGACTACCTGTACAATGCCTTGAAATAAGCAGTTGCTGTGTTTGCATAAGCTAGAGTCCAATTTTTCTTAGCACCCAGTTGCAATCCTATTAGTGATGTATGTGTGTGAATTACATCTGTAAAAAGGGTAAATGGTCCTCTGTGATTGATTTTGCCAACAAGGCTTATAGTTAACCCAGTTTTCTGGATTGAACCACAAACAAAATAAATATAAAGGTTACATTTTTATAACATGGTAGGCTAACTTTGCTAGCTGATCATGCAGTATTTAATTATTTGCTGCAATTAGTTTTCCTCCTCAAACTATGACTATTTATTCAATTGTCAAGATAATTCTACATGCAGTTGTTGAGATGGATTGTAGAATACAAGATTATTACAGATTTGTTAGATTTTAATAGGCCACTAAAATGTTTTTATTTTATAGTTAAAAGCACAGATTATATTATTATTTATTTACAACATTCAAAACACACACACCAGTACAAAATCTGAATACTGTAATAGAGTACATGTACTTCTTATTTACAATAGTTCAATGGCATTGAGAAAAGTGACTTATGACCGTTTTTTATGCTTACAACCATTGCAGCATCCTGATGGTCATGTGATCAATACTCAGACGCTTGGCAACTGACAGTTGCAGTGTCTCAGGGTCATGTGATCACCAAGCAAAGTCAATGGGGAGGCCAGATTCACTTAACTGTGTCACTGTGTTACTAACTCAACAACTGCAATGATTAACAACTGTGGCAAGAAAGGTCATAAATGGGACAAAATTCACTTAACAACTATCTTGCTTAGCAACAGAAATTTTGGACTCAATTGAATTGAACTGAACTGAACTTTATTTGGCCAAGTGTGATTCAACACACAAGGAATTTGTCTCCAGTACAGAAGCACTCAATATACATGCAAAGCAACAGAATCATCATCATCCCAATAAAAGGAGGGGAGTTAAGAAGATACTTTGTAATCATAAATTGAGGACTACCTGCAATATAAATTGTATATTAAGCAATAAATATTACAATTTTAGACCAAGGATGGTGAGAGCGATTGAATAAAGTTTCATGACACATCTGGTAATGGCCAACGATTGATCAGCTAAGAGGAAGAAAACATTTTCCTTTTCTGAACTTCCATGAGGTTTGAATAAATAAGACATTATTAGATTCTTGTGCTAGGTAGTATAATGGGATTGTGAAGAAGTATATGTACATTGCCACCTGCAGAGGAAAAGGCACTCTGACAAAGAAATACTATTATATATTCTTTCCAACAGTGATGTTAGCAAAACATCAAATATAAACAGAGTCCAGACTGTTCAATAAGCCAGCCATAAAATATTATCGAAGTAAATAGAAGTTGAAAAAGATCTTCCAAACACATTTGATCTAAAACAGGGGTGTCAAACACGATTTCATTGAGGAACTTATCAGGGTTGTGTTTGACCTCAGGGGGCCAGTGTGTGCATGGCAAGGGTGGGTGTGGCCAGTTCAATGTCACTAGTGTTGGGGACGCCTGTGGTGGCCCAAGTGTTCTGTCAGTGAAAACAGGCTCCTGAGCTCTGTTTTTGGCTGCGATGGGCTCCTGTAACCCTCTGCCAGAGAAAATGGAGCTCAGGAGAACCGCCTGCAGCCCTCCAGAGCTCTGTTTTTGCTGGCAGAGACACTGCGGGCTGGTCCTTTGCTGTTTCCAGGGCAGCTCCGCGGGCCACATCTAAGCACCCCGCAGTCTGGATCTGGCCCCTGGGCCTTGAGTTTGACACCCCTGATCTAAAACATTAAGCCTTCCATTTGCCACCATTCCTCAAAAACTTAGACAGTGACTTCATAGTTTAGTTCAATATATTAAGCATCTTTTTTCAAACTATGACTGTTTGTTTGGTGCAGTACCACAAATACTGAAAATTTTACAAAACATAATGGTAATAACCACATTCTGAATTAAAAATTATTAAAAATGTTCCTTAAAGCTGCCCAATATATGTTTTTAAGGACCTTGTGGTAAGTTTTTTATATGTTCCCAATTTCTTGAAGTTTGAAAGTTTGAAATCCAGTTTAATTTTGATAAAGAGCCATATTTGGTTTCCTTGCCTAGTTTAATTTGCTTGAAAGCTCCCAAAATTTTTTGATCTCAAAGATCATTTCATCATTATTTCACCAATTTAATGAATGACATGTATTATTGCAGTTGACCTACTCAATATCTGAATTTAATTAGCTTCCAGAGAGCCTGGCCTAAGCAAGAGCCAATGGTTGAGCAGATGACCATTTGTTAAGAAGTGTAATGGGCACATACTTTCATGGGGAGGAATTCAATCACAAATTCAGAATCTGTTGTTTCCATTTCCTTGGGCTGGGTATGACACATAAACAAGTGGCACCATATGGATCTTAAACCCACATCAAACCATAATTTTGATTCTGATCCTATGAAATGCAATATTTGCTTATTAACATAGCTTTCCCAAACTTGATATTTCCAGGTATGTAGGATTATTATCCTTGGTCAACATGGCAAATAAATCTCAAGTGGACCAATTCTGAGGAGCTGGTAATGCAGAGGGAATTGCCTACCATTGAATGTGACATTCTATGGAAACAAAAATTGGAATTTAAAGAAGCAGGAGAGAAAGAATATTGATGCTTTTGAAATTTGGTGTTGAAGAAGACTCCTGACAATATTGTAGACAGCTAAGAAAGTAAACTACTGGATCATTGAACAAATCAACCCAGAGTTTTCACTCAATGCACAAATGAGCAGGTTCAAATTATCCTACTTTGGACACATTACATGAAGAGTTAGTTCTTTAGAGAAGGTGGAAGCTGGGAAAGTAGGAGGAAAGAGGATGACCAGCAGCGAGGTGAATGGACCCAGTTACAGTGGTCATGAGTGCACCATTGGAAGACACAATAACACAGCTGGAAGAGGCCTTGGAGGTCATCAAATCCAGCCCCTGCTCAAGCACGAAACCTATACCATTTCAGACAAATAGCTGTCCTGTTTTTTCTTGAAAGCCTCCGGTGTTCAAACAGTACATTAGGGGGAGATTGTCATGAAGAAAATCTATCTGTGCAGTCAAAAAATGACTTGATGCATGCTTAATCAAAAAGCTTAGGACAGCAGAAATGGACACAACAGATTGATACATACAAGATACAGAACACCAGAATTGGAAGGGATCTTGCAGGTCAACTAGCCCAACTCTCCCCCCCCCACCCCAAAAAAAGCAGGAGACCCTACACCATTTCTTATCGCTTATATTTTTATGTACACTGAGAGGTTATGCACTGAAGACAAATTCTTTTTGTGTCCAATCACACTTGGCCAATAAAGAATTCTAAACTATTCTGACAGATGGCATAAAACCCACTAGCGGGTAAACACTTTTTGCCATGCAAAAAAAAAAGGAACAAGAGCTCCATTTTTCCTCCCAATAAAACCATCAGGCTGTCCTCCAAGTTGGATTTTCCCTACCCTCCTATCTTTGTCCCACACGGAAGTCCGCCTTGAAATTCGCTTACACGCTCCTTGAAACTGCGGTGCTAGGGCCTGCCGTAGAAACCGGCGGGTCCGTTTTGCGCATGCGTAGGTTTCACAACCAGGGCCGATAACTCTTCTCTTGTTGAAATGGGGAAAAGGAGCGCTCGGATTCGGCGAAGTTGAGAAGAAAGCGGGTTGGGCAACGACGAGCTCGCCTGTTTCCAGCATGCGGTTCCTCGGCTGCCTAACGTGCCACGAGCAGAGGTGAGAGAAAGAACCGCCCGACGTCTTCGGTCGGATTCCCGCCGGCTCAAGCAATGAGAAATGGGGGCAGGCGAAGGGAAGGGACATTACAGTAAGACCGCGCTTTACTGACGGAAAAAGGAGGCAGCCGCTTTGTGTCTGTGACTTCTAAGCGCGGCTTTTGGGCTCAGCGTTTCTCTTTAAGTAGTTTGGTAAACGGCCCAATAAACCGCGGCTGGGCCAATTCATGGCAAGGGTAAGACGTGGGAGTCCCAGCCAGCTTCCGGGTTGTGATCTTGTTTCATCTGGAGGAATTTTGGGAGGCTTTTTGAAAGTAAACCTGCCTAGAAAAGCAGTTGCTATTTATAAGATGATGATGACGACGACTACTACATGGTGGGGAATAATTTACAGGGGAAGCTAACTAATACAGTTCAATATTTAGCTGGGTTCTCATTTATGGGTTGATTTGGTTTTTGCTTAATGCATTGGGTAAATCAAACCATAGTTCAGGTCATATAATTTAGGGTTAATTGTGAACTAAGCCCTCCTAAATTATTCGTTTATGTATTGTATGAACTAAGGTATTTTTCATTCCTTCTAGGTGGCCAGATGCAAAAGGCTACATTTTGACTGAAGCGAAGAACATTTTCAAAGTGCCATTTATTTTGTGTGGGTAGGAAAAGGAAAGAGAAATTGCTATATTTGCTGAAATGTTCTTATATAATTTGAAAAAGGCAGAGTCTCTTCAACTGGTTACCGGATTGTAAGTTGCCCAGAGTTACTGTGGTAATAATATTATTACAGCCAATAATTTTTTTAAATAAATAAGTTCCCTTATATCTTTTAACATTTAACACTATAATTCAGCAATGTCTTCTTTGTTCTTTATCATTCTAATGGTAAAATACTGTTTTGTCTGTATACTTACTGCAGAACAATTTCAAAAATAGCATTGTTCTTATGTACCTCTCGTATTTATAAACATATACTTGTTGCATTTTCTACTGGGTGATAATTCTCTGAAAATTAGTTTATCAAAGTATAACTGTTGGGTGTGAAACTGTCCTTATTTCGTTCTCTTTTTATATGGAAAATTAATCATTTGGGATTGAAAGTATTTTAGTGATTAATATAAAAATGGTGTATTCCAATTTGAAAGCTAAATTATAGCTGAACATTTGCCATATTTTAACATTTAAAGACAGAAAGAATCCTCTACCATTGTATCTATGAACATGTACATTTTACATGCCTAGGTTGTGCATAGTGTAAGTATGAAAGAGAATATTAAATGGGATAATTAAAAATATTTTAATAACTTCCTCATAATATTGCTACTTTACTTTTCTTCCAGCTCCTGTACTAAATAACTGAGAATCCCACTTCTTTTGTAAACTAATAATCCTAACTGTTGCTCTTTACTATCCTGGTTCTTTAGATACCCCTAAGCCTGCAATGTTTCTTGAGCAAGCAGGGCTGGTTATTAGTTACTGGGTTATTTATTTTCACAATACAAAATTCTTGTTCCTTAGAATGTAAATATTAATTATGGAGCAAATAATGATTGTTAGCAATTAAGGAAGTGTTTATTAATATTTGAGGTACCATGAGTCCCTGAAATTATAAATCAATTTGAATTGTCTCCCCCTAAATAATATGGAAGAATACTTGTATTAAGCCAGCATCTCCCAACTAATTACTAAGCATATATATTACTTTTGAAAAAAAGAAACTTAAATAACATTCAGTTTACAGAAACAAAAAACCAAACACTTTTAGTGGAAACTTGTGTGAAGGATTAAGGAGTCTGTTTGCATAATGATTTCTTTGTAAGGAACCCTTATTCCTTTACACAAGCATAGAGTTTAAGGAATAGGAAGTTAAAGGCAGAAAGTTGGTTGGTTAAGAGGTTTCAGTAAATGTCTAAGTGGTCTATAATATATCTGAAAATATTTTTAGATCAAAATATCAATAGCCATAATCAATACCAAAAAGTTCCCCACCCTCTTTTTAAACTAGGCTACTAAAGCTGAAATGCTCTTGGGAGAAAAGCAACTAACACTGAAAGTTCAGTTATAAAAAATAACTCAGGATTGTCCATGTGCTCAGAGGCATATTGTACTTGTTTATTAAATCTAAGAGCATGCACCTTTTCTTTTGACTTACCTATTCCTTAGCTGGCTTTAGTTGGTGAACCTGAGAATTCAAAAATAAATAAATTGAACTAAATCACACAGGTAGAAAATTTTTCCCGTTAATGTAAACTAATATTTTAAAGAGTACTTTTCCAGTTTCTGTCTTAGAAAGTATTCAAGTAGCCTGCAATTTTGAATAAAATACTATATTCACCATGTTGTAAAAAAATAATATTTTCTGTAAGTATAGTTTCATTGAGAAAAACTAGGGAAGTGTCAAAGTACCAGGTGAAATTCTTACTTGAAATTCTTTAATTCAGTCATCAGTATTTTGTATGTGCTGATGCATAACGGTTGAATATATGTGCTTATACATAATGGAAAGTTCAGTTTACTATGATTCAGATTAACTGAAATCAGAGTTCATATAAATAGGAGGAAATGATTATTATACCATAATCACCATACAATAATTTTCTATGAGGAACTTATCTGAATTAGGAACTTGTTTACTTTAAAAAATGCAAAAAACTTTTCCTTTGAATATATTATTGCTGTTGCTTTAATAAGAGACCTGGCTAAAGTACAAGGAAAATTACAAATATAGAATATTAGTCCAGTTGAATATTATATAATTCTTTGGAATATAATACATTTTTAAAAGAAATAAATTCTAGAACACTCTAATTTTGACAAGTGAGGAAAATTTCTGCAAGACTCATATCTTAGTTTTTATATATATCTATAATAATGTAATTTCATTAGTTTAACAATATATCAGTGTTTGTTTTGGTAGAAGTACTTTACTCCTTGTCAAAATCAGTGAATTCAAAATGTTAGGTCAGTATTTATCTCAATAATCTATTTTATTATTTTACCACATAATTTTTCTCATGCCAAAAAAAAGTATTATTACAATAATAGTATTAATAGAATTGTCAAATCTGGCTTAAAACTTCCAGCAGTATTTTCTATAGTTTTTCTGGAGTAACAAGCTTTTAAAGATAGTTCTTATAGATTTTTATTACATTGTGTATTTTTAGGAATATCATCATATAAAAGTCCTCAAGGGAAAAATTACAAACTAAAACACATTACCACATCATTGATATGGTATATTAATGTTGTACTGTGTCTAAGTAGCCTTTCTAGTATATTTTGCACGATGACTCCATTTTTCTCAAATAAAATTTCATACTTCTTTATAAAACAATTTTATTTTTATATTGCAGGAAATCATAAGCAACTGCTCAAAAAAGTGAAAGAAAAAGTCTAATGGAGATCATGAAGATCCCAAAACCATTCTGCATATTTTCAATTTTCACATGTGCTGCTATATATGCTGTGTATACCAAGTGGAATTTTGATTATAAAGGAAAAAGTGTTGACAAAGGTTTGGAAAAGCAGCTTGGTGCTGAGATCTCAAGAAAAGATGAGGCAGTTCTTTATGGAATTATGTTTGATGCTGGAAGCACTGGCACCCGTATACATGTATTCCATTTTGCACAGAAACCAAAAGGTAACCCCTTCAGTTCATAATTTTGCTAATAACCACTTGTTCAGTAACTCTGGAAAATTGCCGCAGTGCTGAATGAGTGGTACTTACAACTTATCTTCAAAATTCTGGCCATCACAGTGTCCCCATGCTGATATGATCATGATTTGGGAAACTAGCAACCAGCTTGCACTCAGGATGATTACAGTGTCCTGTGGTCATGTGATTGCCATTTGCAACCTTCTCTGCCTGCTTCCCACAAGCAAAGCAATGGGGAAGACAACAGGGAAGGTCATAAATCACTCTGGTCAGTTCCCTCAGCCTTCCTGCACATTGTACAACATGGTTTTTCCCTTGACTGCCACACACCCAACTTACATGCAGCCTGAACTTGTCACATGATTGCCATTTGAGCACTTCAAAATTGGTATGCAATCAAATATCACAGTCTACCATGATCGTGTGATCATCATTTGTGTGGAAGCGATTAATAGAGAAGGTGGAAGTAAAATCGTAAGTCACGATCATGTGATATTTTGCTTAATAACTAGTGATTTGCTTAATGACTGAAGGGGAAGTGAGATCATAAGCCTGTCATAGTCGTGATGTTTTGCTTAGTGACTGCGGTGTTTAACAATGAAGTTTTTGTTCCAATTCTGTTTACTAAATGAGAACTACCTGTGCTGTTTTCCTACTATTTTCTTTTATTGTTTACTCATGTCAGAATTTGCTGCTCCCTGGTGGCTCAAATATTTTAATATTGTTTATAAAAGCTATGGCATATTTATATATTGAAGGGTGGTGGGTTTTTTGAGATCTATTTTGAAGGTAGAGCAATAGATGCAAAAAACATGGTCTAATCATAATTTTCATGAGAATGTAAATATTGTAATCCTTCAGGTTACAAATTGTTGAAGGCAGTACATAAGAAATATGTATATATATTTTTTAGGAATCACATAAATAGTGTCATACAATGAAGAACTGTTCCCATAAGACAGAAGGAAAGGGGATACTTCTGCTGGGTTTTCTTTTCTGCAGTTAGTCCCCCTTATGAAGAAGGATTTCACATTAATTTCTTGATTAATTAACTTAATTTTTGGTGTCTTTGATTTGCGGACTGCAAAATTATGTATAGAAGTTACTACATTGAGTTAATTTTCCTTTTTTAAAAAACAGAGCTTCCAAGATTAATTAATACCACATTCAAAGCATTAAAACCAGGACTCTCTGCATATGCTGACAATGTGGATAAGGTAATTTGAACTTAAATAAGATAATTTAGGTCATGCTTGCCTGGAAATAATTGTTAATTATTGTTAACTTATAAAAATTATAAATATTGACATAAATTATAAAATTATAATAATAGCAACTTCTTTTGAAGAAACATGCATATCATTGTATTACAGGTGTATAGTTGTTGAAGAAATATATATCTGTGCTATTTGTTAGGTAAGGTTTAAAACATTTATTCTGTCTCCATTTTTAAAAGATATCTAGGTAGGCATACCTTGTGCCAAAGTTAGGACCATGGATGTCAGGCACAAGCAACCAGAACTGTTCCGAGGTTTCAGTCAAGAGGTTTCTTTATTACTGAGTTGACAGACTGCCTGCCTTCCCTTGAGAAAGCCTGATATAGTGTTTGATCTCATATGCTTTCTCACCTACTATGGAGTCCAAGCTACCATATTTCTTAATTCTCCCTATTGGGGGCCTCCTTCCTTTCAGCTCTTGACTCCACCTGGAGTTGTTTTTATGTCATATCGAGGTAAGATCTGTCTGAAACCTGAATTTTCCTGGCGTTTCATGTAGTACTAGCATGTCTAAACAATAAAACACATTGTATGTGAGACAACTTCATCTAGCAAAAGTATTCAGGATAGGCACAAAATCTCCTGACTTAGGGGGAAAGTCAGGTCCTGAAAATCTTCATCCAGATCTTGGGGAATGCTGTTCCACAGAAACACAGAAAAATGTTGTGTTTTTATATATATCAAGAAGTTAGGCAGCCTCAAAATCTTAAAAATAAATATCCTGCATCATCCCCATTTATACTTACTTCTTTTTTAACTGCTTGAATGAGAGCCCGTCTGTTTTAGTGGTTTAAGGTACCAGGCTAGAAACCAAAATAAGAAAACATGCATGCGTGCATCCCCCAGACCCTGCTTAAATAAAAAGACAACGTATTTTATTTTGTCAGAGTGCTGAAGGAATAAATGAGCTATTGGCAGTTGCTAAAGAAGCTGTTCCTATGCATTTGTGGACGTCAACTCCCTTAGTTCTTAAAGCCACTGCTGGCTTAAGATTGCTGCCAGGAGAAAAGGCACAGAAATTATTGGATAAGGTATTTTGTTCTCTATTCTTATTATCTTGATTAATCTAAATTAGTTTGGTATCAGGGCAGGAATCTCTTTAAGTCTTCTGCACTATGTATTCTAGTCTAGTAGATAATGATTACACTTCAGGCTTATTGATGAATACTAGAGTATTAATAGGGGGCTGTATTACAGTTTGTCATTCAGAGTTATAAAGATGGGTGTCATCAATATTATATTGATTTCTTTTAAATCTTCCAATGAAGCAGTGGATGATTTGAACAGGTATATCAAAAAGCTTAATACAGATAACACATCTGGAAAAAGTTTGCACCTGGAATGCATAAATAATGTGATCTGGAAGGGGTTCATTCTCCCTAAATGCTTTTAATTTTGGGGGTGCTTCTTGCTCCATTTTGGCTCCTGATTACTGCACAGGATTACTGTGCATTTTATTTATGGTTTTCCATCACGTTCAGATGGTACATCAATTCTCAATTCCTGAGAATGACCAGCTGTTAGGAGACAATGGTACAGATAGTCCTTGGCTTACAACCATTTCTTTAGTAACCGTTCAAACTGCAAAAAGTGATTTATGACCAATTTTCACACTTAATGACCATTGCAACATTCCCACAGTCACGTAATAAAAATTTGGACTCTTGGCAACCGGCATGTATTTCGATGCATTCCAAGGTCATGTGATCTCCATGATCTCCAGTTAATTTCCAAAAAGCAAAGTCAGTAGGGGAAGCTGGATTCATTTAACATCTGCAAGATTCATTTAACAACAGTGGTGATTCACTTAATAACAGTGGTAAAAAGGTCATAAAATTGGGCATGACTCACTTATTGACTGCTGTGTTTAGCAATCAAAGTTCCATCTCCCAATTGTTTTTGTAAGTCAAGGACTGTCTCATTAGGCAGGAGGTAGTTTAATTATAAGACAGTAAATAGTTCAATAAGAAGAATGACACCATATATACAATTGCAGAGAAATATAATCTTTTCTGAATTATTGCGTTTCTTGAGTTTTAAATGTATTTGTATGAATCTTTAATTTTAGGTAAAGGACATTTTTCAAGAGTCTCCATTCTTTATAGGAAATGATTGTGTCTCCATAATGGATGGATCAGATGAAGGTAGTTGAATTTATGTTTCAGTGATTTCATAGTATGTTTGCTTTTGATTCTAAAATAATCTTCCTGTGCAGACAGAATTTCTGTGAAACTAAGGGCAAACACAACTGTTTAATATCTCTGCAATGTTTTTCCCTTTTGTTCAATCATGTTTGCTTCTCAGGAACTGGCTGGACAAGTCCCTGCAATTGTCTTGGCAAGGTTTTCAAAGTGGTTTGCCATTTCTTCCATCTTAAGGCTAAGGGAAAGTGTCTGAGGTCATCCATCCATTGTGACTAAAGTGGGACTAGAAATCATAGTCTTCCATTTTCTAACCTGATGCCTTAATCACTTGATCAAACTGGCTATCCTACAATATTTTAACTGCTTGCAAATATATGTGGAGTAATATAAAGAACATCTATTCCTGTTCTATTAAGCTAAATTACTGTTTCCCAAATTTATTTGGCCATGGAATATTTGGGAGTCTTTAATATATTAATGTAACATACGCATGCTACATGTGGGAAAGGAGGTTTTTACACACACACACACACACAATAATTTTGAATTTAGTTGAAACTTTGGTTAGGATTTATTGAAAATGAATGATAAAAATGAATTTCAGTCCTCATTAAAAAGAATGCTATGGCTGAGTGCCCATTTTTTGCCCAAAATCTTTACCAGGAGGAGTATTTTTCTTTTGCTGATCATAAATCAACTTAAAATTAGAAGAACTACTAGAAAGATCTTTGTGTATGGTGCAGCATTTCACACTTTTCATGATATCATAATGTGAAAGTTCTGTTTCACATATATCAAACGAAGAAAGTATTCAAACTACATGTTTTGCAACAGTTAGGTTGAATTAAACTGCTCCAAATATAATTTTGTAGAATGTTACTTTTTTATTTTAGTTAAAAAAAATAAATCATGAAACACAGAACTAGTGGCTTTGTAATCCATAATGAAACCAAAAGCTATGCTATAATTTCCTATCCTTTTATAGAGAAATCAAAATGGCTCCTATTATATCTTCAGCCAGTTGGGAAAAAAAAGACATTAGCCTGTTGTCTATGCAGAATTCTCAGTTGTCAGGTACTATGCATTCACTGAAATTTTATTAGAGAATATCTAGTTGACGTCTAAGCTGATAGAGAAGAATATTTGTAGCTCAGAGTTGAAGGGTCCTTAGTATTATCTGAGCTGGGTTGTTTTCTTGCAAATGATTCATTATACAAGCTAGGTACATCATCAGGTTACCTAGTTTAGGTAATGAAATATCTGCAAGAAAACAAGCTCAGGGACTTCCGGTTTGAGCTTCTTTGGTGACAGACCGAAACCTCGTCTCTCCGAGGCTTCGATCCGTGCTCGTCGCTGGAGCGCCCCGAGCCAGCTGGTTTTGGGGCTAAGCCAGCCCATAGAGGTGGTGAAGAGGGGGGAGACTGCCTGCAGGGTTGAGGAGAGCCGCATCTCTCCTCCCCAGCTGGCTACTACTCCCTTTCCCGAAGGCGGTTGTAGCAGTGGTCAGAAATGGCCACCACAAAGAAGAACTCAACCGAAAAAGAATGTGCAGGAGGAAGATAAGAAGAGAAAGTTTTGGTTGACCGGGTCAAACAGCAAAAGCAACAAATAAGGTACCCTGGAATTTAAACTTAACAACATTGTTCCCAAGGAAGATTTTGAAGCTGCGAAGGAAAGAGAGAAGGGAAAGGATTAGGGTTTTTTTCTTCCCTTCCTTATACTGACAGCTAAGAGACTTAAGCAAGAAACTGAAAAAAAAATCCACTTTGACATTAATAGGCATGTAAGCTGAAAATAAAAGTCAAAGGGATAATAAAGATTTTTGGACATTTAAAAGTTTTTAAAAGCTGGAAAGGAGAAAAAAAAAGAATAGAAGGGCAGGATCTGGAAAAATGGAGGAGACTGCCTGGAATTAAGGAATGGAACTGTAATTAAAAGGAACTTACAGTGAAATTTTAACAAGATTCCTCAAAGATACATTTTAATGGAAACTTAGTAACACAATAATAGAACCCCAGGAAGAGAAAGTGGAAAAAAGAAGCAAGTAGAAACAGCCTTGGATTATTTGGATTACTTGGTGATTTTTGGTTTTTGCATCTAGATGACTAAAATTAACTGGGTGGTTGTTTAAAAGTTTTTAAAATGGTATCACTCTTAGAAGAACTGAAACGGAACATTAAAAATGGAAAGAAGACACACAAGAAGAGAGAAGTTTTTTTGGCTTCGTGTTTCAATTCTTAGAAATGGAGATCTGGAACTATGAGAAGCAACAAGAAATGCTTGCAGAACAAGAAGATTGGGACAAAGAAGAAGCCATCTTTAATGATCAAATAATTTTAAGTGGGAAAAAAGAAAAGGGGGGAAAGAGAGTGAAAGGTTTAAGATTAGAAAAAACAACCAAAAAGAAGAAGAACAATTTGAAAGATAAGTATAATATTAGAAAGCAACAGAAGAGGGGATTACAGATGAGAGAGTTAGAAGTAGAGAGACGAGGGGGTAAAGAGAGACGAGGGGGTAAAGAGAGACGAGGGGGTAAAAAGGGGAGGGAGAAGAAGAGGGGGAAGAAGGCTAGGAAAAGAAGTTGTAAAAGACAGAAACAAGAAATGGAGAAACAGGGAAAAGATATAAGGATTGTAACCATAAGTTTGTTTAGAGATAATGGGTGAAAATTTAATTGTAAAAGGGATTCTGCAAAGGTACATAAGATAGCTTTGTTATATTACGAATAGAAATAACTTTAGAAAATATGATGATGGATAAAATATTTATTGTAATGCAGTGGGATGTTTGTTAATAAATAAATGAATTAAAATGATTGAGAAAATTAAAAGGGAACGTTTTTAATTATTAGTGATGATTTATAAAAAATATAAGTGAGAAATATGGAAAAAAAAGAATTAACTATGGAAAGTTTATAAGTGTTCCCAAGGAAGTATGATATTCAATTGAAAAGAAATGTTAAAGATGTTAAGATTTTGATGCGTATTAATGATAGAATTGAATTTGAATAGAATGTGTTTTATTTACGTATATATATATATATATTTCTTTTTAAGAATATAGTGTCTATTTTAAGAATGTACCAAGCAGAATTCGATTGGAAGTTATGTATTATATTGAATGCTATAATCTTAAAGCTATACATTGAAGCTTAAATAAGAGCTTGAATGGATAAAATTAAAGGATATAAAAGTGTCATACTCTAATTGGTAACTACAGGGAAAAATTTGCTTAATAAGAAAAGATAATGTGAAATTGTAACAGGACAGACAAAAGTATAAATATAATGATTTGAATTGAGATAATTAAAGTTGAGAAAATTAAAAGAAGGGAAAAACTATGTAGAAAATATAAAATGGTAATAAGATATGGAATAGAATATAAAAATGAGCATGAAATTGAGTTTTGTGTTTGTATGAAGAAGTGATAACCTGGGACCATGCTATTTTCAGAAAAGATGTTTTATTTGTATTTTGTTTTTGTGAAAACCCAAATAAAATTTTCAAAAAAAAAACCCAAGCTCAGAGAGGATCAAGGCCTCCACATAGTCTAAAGATAGACTATCAAGGAAGAGGTCATTGTAAATGTTTGGAGAAACATTTCCTCAATCCCCTAAGAGCAAGATTTTAATTCATCCTTCAGGAAACAAATTGAGAAGTTGGACTGGCTGTCCTACTGTACTAATAAATAGGAAATGCTATTTGCATTTATGGCAGTTTGTACTTTGCTTCTGAGGAATTCTGCCATTTGTAGGAGCAGTGGCTGGGCCAAGGGTCTTCAAACTTGGCAAGTTTAAGACTTGTGGACTTCAACTCCCAGAATTTCTGAGCTAACATGACTGGAAGAGAAATTCTGGGAGTTGAAATCCACAAGTCTTAAAGCTGTCAAGTTTGAAGACCCCTGGGCAAGGCATTTGGTTCCAATGTTAGCCACAGTCTGGCACCTACAGGAGTGCCCTAATCTCTTTTACTGAGAAAAAATAACTTCTTCATTCAGAAAGAAAATGAAGCTAGTTTAGTTAATAGTATTCAGTTCCAGGTAAATTGCAAGTATCTATCTTCCACACAATGAGGGCAGGCTCATGTTAAAGTAAGTGAGCAATTTAGTTAATGAAATGTATTGTTTGTACTTTTATTTAGCTATTACTTGCTTTTAGACTTTACATGTTCTGAGAGTGGAAGTACAATTGAGACAAAATTCTGTAGATAAGTTTTTCAGTTTGTGCTGTATTTAATTTTTTATTATAAATTGTAGGCTACACACCATATTAACATAGAACACTGTATAGCTGTCTAGGAAGAAGAATTTTCTATACTATATTTTAGCAGATACTTTGAATCAGTTCATAATGACCATTTCCATATACAAATATGTAAAGGAAAAAAGCATATGTCATGCATTGCTCCAAGTTAACTAAGATCTTTTAGCTTTCAAATAGCACACTGAAATGTCCCATTTTCTATATGTCTTTCCTCTAAAGATTCATCTCATTTTTTCTGATATAGTAGAAGCCTAAGCTCCAGTTAGTGTTAGTCAGATACCTCTATCCTAATTGTTGTAACAAGCATTTGTCTTCTGTGCCACTTTCTCACTCGTCCTGTTTTGATGATTTTAACCAATTTAAATTTGATCTTATAAATAAATCACAGGAATTGGAAAATAGAAATCTGATTTCTATTTATTGCATTTTTTTAAACCAGGTATTTCAGCATGGATCACAGTCAACTTTTTAACAGGTATGTTTGCAAGTATGTTGTATTACGTTTATATTCTATATTATTGTTATTTATTAAATTAGTCAGTTAATAAATCACCCACCCATCTTGTCAGAGGCAACTCTGGCTTACAAACTTTCAGTTATAATGTACTATTTTAAAGCATTAAAACAGTAATAAGAATAATAAATTTAAAATTCAATTAAAATAAAGCTAAGCAAGATGGAGAGGGAGGGAACAAAGTGCGTACAGGGAGGTGGGGTAGTATCATTAGTCACCTCCAAAGTGCTCACTCCCACTAGGACCCCAATATAATACAATTTATGTTCTCTCTAAATGTTCAAAGTATATAGTAGTAGTTTGCTATATGCTATTTTCTAAAGTAATTTGTTATATAAAACGATAAGATTTACGTAAGTACTATTAAATTCAGTGTAGCAGTTCCCAGGACATAAAACTGCAGCCACAGTTGCTTCGGATAAAACTCCAGTTATACTTTGAATTTAAAACCTATGCTTACTTTAAATACAAGTAATTAAATACAAGTAATTTCATCAAATACAAGTAATTAAAACATTTCCATGTATTTACGTTCCTTGTTATTTGAAATTTTAAGTCTGATTTATATATGTGTGATAATATAGGCAAGATACATGTGTTTTACTTGGAACTGTTTGTAAAATAATTACATTTCTTAAATAAACATTCCATTAACTTTGCTTTATCAAATGATCCATTTCAGACAGCTTGAATAATCCAACGAAGAAATGTGTAGGAATGCTAGATTTAGGTGGTGGATCTACTCAAATCACATTTCGCCCAAGCACTGAAGTAAGAAGAATACAAGTCCCTTTTATTTCAACTCTTTCAAGAGATCACCAAACATTTTTACATTTTTTTGTTTCTGTTGATTTGCTTCAATTTTGGTTTGGGGTATAAAACCATGTCAGCTTTCGTGTGGATTTAAAACTTGTATTGAAGTAGGAATTTAATTAACTCTCCACTGTTGACATTTAATGCTAGTAGGTTTTTCTATTCAAGAGGAGGAAGTTTGCCAGCAACTATTGCTTTTAGATATATGACTTCCATTATTGAAGAGAATTGTGCAAAGTTAATACTGGCTATATAAATGGCTATGGATATTACCTAAAATCCAAAACTGTATAGTTTAGGTATTATCCAAGTAATCTTTCCAATACATTGTTCTAGGTCTGATACAGCTCTATAAGTATGCCAGCAGATCTTAGGAGCTAACAAAAATTGTAGTATTATAGAATTTCATTCATTCATTCATTCACAGTATATAGCAAGTATAAAGCTGGAAAAATTCTGCCAGGCAGCACATTTCTAATGCCTTTTCTGGCAGCATTGCTTTTGATCCCTAGAAGTTCCTGGCCACCAAGGGCTGACAAACATTTCTACTAGGTAGTGTCTTCAGGATATCCTTGAAAAGTATCCAGAACTTCAGCTGATACAGTATGTGGCTATGAGGGTAAACATAGAAGGGCCCATGTCATCCTTTTACTGCACAAACTGCATTGGGTGCCATTTTGCTCCCAGGTCCAATTCAAGTTTTGGGTTATGACCCTGAAAGCCTTACATGGCATGGGGCCACATCGGCCCATCCCATCCAGTCAAGCAGGAAAAGTATATAATGGGCCTCGTCAGTTAAATAATTCCAACTGGAAAGGTCCAGGAAAAGTGCTTTGTCTGCCATTGTCCCTGACCTGTGTAACATTCTTCCCTCAGAGATAAGGCAGGCCCCACTCTCCTGGCCTTTTGGAAAAGGGTAAGAACATGGCTCTGCAACTTTGCTTGGGGCTGACAGAGGAGCAACAGTGGGCCTGGTTAGCGCCCTGAAAGTCCTCCCCTCCTCTCCCCTTTTAATTAGCCTTAACACTGGTTTTTAATTCCTTGCCCTTTTAAAATATTATATACTGTTTTTATGTTTTAATATTTTATTTGTGCGCCGCCCAGAATACTTTGTGAAGGAGATCTTAATGCCTTTTAAAATGTGATAATAGTCTATTAGAGGAAATAGCTCTGTATAAGAGTATGCATCTGCCTATTTTATTTAATTGAAAAAAATGAATGGGAGCTCACGAATAAGTTTTGAATATAAAGGTTGAAAGTTGGACCAGAAGAAGGGCTGAACAAGTCACAAAAAAGGGGAAAATAGAAAGCTGTGCTTGGATGGCTGATGAGGCTTCAAAAAGAAAGAAGGAAGAGGTTAAAGAACAAATGGCAACATATTAAACAATACATGGACATACTGGAAGCAAGAATGGTTTGAAAGATATGGGAGATACAATGAATGGTGAAAAATAATTTTAATCAAATTCCTTTTATGCCTTTAATTTATTTGACTTCCTATTTCTTATTCCTTATCTGTATTTTGCATAACTCTGACAGAGTTGATATGAATGTAGGTTACAATTAATTTAATTTAGTTGTCTTATAGGATGCCACTATAGTTAAGTGACATAAGTCACATAATTTTCATAGATACGAATATCTGTAAGATTCTAGCTTACTGGTTTAATCGGGAAACGTAACATATAAACTGGAAGATCATCCTCTGGTCTGTTTAGTGAAATATCCAACCTTGGATCTTTCTACTTGTTATCTGACCATGATGCATAAAAATGTAACACATAATTTTAAGAAATATAGCTTTTTAGCAGCTCTCCAACAACATTGCTCTATTTTCTTTTCATGGAATATCAAGTATTTTCTCTCTCTTTACAGACATCTGCAGAGAATTCAACTGCTGAACACATCATTTCATTTAACTTGTTTAATACTACATATAAACTGAATTCACACAGGTTAGTTGTCAGAAAGCTTTTTCATATAGTGCAGTAAATTGTTTTTTTTTAAAGATTGTTAAATGTTCATAGTAATTGATTATTTATAAAAATATCTAATACATAGTTGCATGCAAACATTTAGGCACCTCTGGTCAAACAGTATGTTTCTTTTTGATAGTCCTAAACTTCGTTAGGGGAGAAATAGAGGTGCTCTCAATTACGCAGGATCTAAGATATGGTCGTTTCAAAATTAAAATTATAAATTTAATCAGAAACATTGTCCTGCCTGATTTTTGTCTAGATTATTACAAGAATGGAGTTGGCACAGACTAAATATATACAAGGCTCTAAGAATCTACCTCAAACACATTCTAGAGTAGCAACAGGCCAATAAATCATTTGACTCCCATACACAGAAAACCAGAGGATATTTTATAGCCTACACTTCTGACACTGTTTCCTTGAAAAGTCTGAGCAATTTAGATTGGCTGGGCAACTATATAGATCAGATTTTTCAGACCATTACCTATAAGCCAGAAGTTCCAGGAACTAGAAAATTAAAATATAAATTTGGAGAAAGGTACCGATCACATTGATATGTTAAATATTTGTAATATACTTCACATACTTTTAAAAAATACCTTTTCTTTCCTTCAAGTACAATCTTTTGGGGAATAAAACAGATTATGGGCATTTTAAATTTATCACATGGCCATACGGTGGCTAGTTATAAAAATAGCCATTTTATAATAAAATGCTACTTAAACATTGACCTTAGAATTCCATAAAATATAATTCTTTTTAATTATTATAACGACTACAATATATTTACTTTGACTGTTCATGAATACATTTCATCTTGCTTTTGATGAACCATGAAGTAACTTGATTATTAAGTGGCGAGGTTCATTTTTAAAAGGCCTGCATTTCACCTCTTTGGTCTATCTAACTATTTAAAATGTATAGTGTATGAAAGCAAATTAAGTGTATATCAGTCTATGAAATGAAATTTAAAAGAAAATAACCATATCAGCATTTAATTATCATTAAAAGTATTAAAATAACTTCAAGGTGCAAATTAGCAATAGAACTGCCATATTCAAAATATCCTTTCTTGTACATGTGGTATTTATAGTCTTATAGTCTGCAATAAAGTGACTTCAGGTTTTTTTTTATTGTTTCATCATTTCAGCAGCTGTAAAACCCAGTGTATTCTGTATCTGTTGTTTAAAGTCAATCACTAATAGATATACTAGCTCTACTGTTAAACAAAGAAAGTACTGTTAAACAAAAAAATAATCTAGTCTTTATCAAAATTGCTTCTCTCAATTTGTCTAGTTACTTGGGATTTGGATTAATGTCAGCAAGACTGGCAATTTTAGGAGGAGTTGAAGGACAAACCTGTAAGTATTATATATGATTTGAATGATGTACAGGAATCCCAAATTGCTTTTTTTAATATTCACTTTTCCAAGTAGATAGTGACATATTAATAATACTACTCACTTAAAATCTATTAGTTTCTTTCTCTTTTCTTTCAAAGTGTTAGAAGAAATGCACAAGTAAAACATAATTTAAAGATAATTAAAACGGATAAAACTCAGTTGAAATAACCATGTGTCTAGTCAGAAAACAGACTCTGAACATCAACCTTGGTTAATCTTGAAAAGGCTAAGTGAAGTGAGATCTGGTTACTATTGGGTGATCAGAATGTCTATCTGATTGCCAAGACCATTCTGAAACAGCAGTGCTGCTGTACAAAAAGAGTACTGCTTAACCTGGGCTTCCTTCACTTCCTAGAAGTGCAGGAAAACTAGCAGTGCTTCCTTATAAGATGTGGTGAGGCTGATTTTGATGCAGGCAGTCCTGTACATACCCAGTGCCAAGCCTTGAAGGGCTTTAAGAAACCAGCACGTAATATTGTATTTATAAAGGTAATGGTAACCATTGTAGAGCCCACAAAATTGGTGTCGTATGTCCTCATTGCCAGAAAGAAGGAAATATGTAGGGTGTCACATTCTGGTCAATAGAAATTTCTGAATAGTTTTTTAAGAGCAAGCATGGGTAAAACACATTATAATAGTGAGTCCAGATGACAATGAGAACTTATAAGTAGGTCCTTCTGCATCAAGTAGAATTATCATAGCTGCAGTTGTTGCAGATGGGCAACGCTCTTTAGCATACCTTTTATCTACCGTTATAACAGGAGCCATGAGCCTAAAGGTCCCCGGTTTGCAAACCTGCTCTTTCATGGGTAACTCCTACTCATCCAGTGGTAACACTGGTGTTGAAAGAAAACTTGGTGCACAAACAATAGCAATAGCACTTAGACTTATATACCACTTCACAGTGCTTTATCGCCCTCTCTAAGCAGTTTACAGAGTCAGCATATTGCCCCCAACAATCTGGGTCCTCATTTTACCATCCTTGGAAGGATGGAAGGCTGAATCAACCTTGAGTCTGGTGAGATTTGAACTGCCAAATTGCAGGCAGGCAGCAGGCAGCAGAAGTAGCCTGCAGTACTGCACTTTAACCACTGCACCACCAAGCTCAATTCTGAGTGATTTCATACACATATATGTAGTTCTTTTGACAACAGCACAGAAGACATTGCTATTGCCTTCTTCCACAGTGGATTTAATTTTCCAGTCCAGACTGCAGCACATTTCCTATTGTTGACATTACCAACATCTTACTTGACTTCAGCTTTAATGTGTTCTGTTCCAATCAAATCCTTATTCCCAAGCATGTCTCTACAACCTAGCCTAACATAGACCTACTCACACAGATGTATCTACAACGTAGAACCCCTGACCACCAGTAAGGTATTTCTAATTATCAGAAGCATCCCTCCTCTCCCACCCTGATATCAAAGTAAATGGAGGTTTGAAATCTGGAATGGCAGGTCTCTGACCAGACTACATTGTCACTTCATGCATCCAAGTTTCACTAACGCGACAGGTCTGTTGCCTGATTCAGTACCAAGTCATGGATGAAGATGGTATTATTGCAAACAGACCTGGTCTTAACTATCAGGACCCTGAGGCTTTAAATATGTATCTGGAAGTCTGTTGGTAATGTCAACAATAGGAAATGTGCTGCAGTCTAGACTGGAAAATTAAGTCCACTGTGCAAGAAGGCAATAGCAACCTCCTCTGTGCTGTTGTCACTCAGAACTGAGCTTGATTCAAAGGAGAGTTTACCTTTCATTCCATCTTTGGAGAATTGGGTACGTTAGCTTTGCTTATTACCCTGAATTTATGTCTGATTTATAGCGGTACTAAACATTCAAATATCAAATAGAAAACATTATCTTGGGAATAATGGGGGTGGGAAAATTGTTTGCCTATTCAAAATAATTGCTGTATCTCAAGCAGACTCACTCGGTCTATATTTTTCCCTAACAGCGAAAGAAGGCGAAGAACTAACAAGTCCCTGCTTATCACTAAATTATCAAGGTGAATGGGAACATGCAAAGATACTGTACAAAGTTAAAGGGCAGAAAACAGGTACCTGGTCACTCTTTATCTTTACAAAGATACTTGACTTTTGTAAATGGGTCTTTTGAATAGAAATTGTAACTACATTTGTACACATTCTTCCTCTAAATAGAGGAGTGCATATATAATATTCTGCCCACATGCGCCAGTTTTACCACATTTTTGCAGTAATGAGTAAGAATGAGTATAGAGTTTTTCCCTATCTTCTCCTTTCCAAATGTGGTCCCAGCAATCAGGCATTTTTCCAAAATACATCAGTTTTAGGATTGAGTGCAGGAATAAGTAGAGTTGGAAGCATTTTATTCCTTCTAGACAGCTCATAATTACAGTTAAAATATTTCTTTCTAGGCAGTTTAGAACAGGGGTCGCCAACCTTTTGGACCTCAGGGACCACCAAACTCATAATTTTAAATCCCAGGGACCACTAACTGGTTCTGTGGGCATGGCCTAATTTGTGGGTGTAGCTTGGTGACCATGTGACAGGCCAGGCATTGCTTCTATGTAAATATTATAAATTAAATATAAATATTATAAATATTTACATAAATATTGATTTTTTTTAGAAAAAAAGAGCAACTTTTACCCCAAATCAGGCAAAGCAGGCAGGCAGATTGAGTTGCTCACAGAATCACAGATTCTATCTACCATCGGCTAGCTCAGTCTCTCAAATTTGCTTGCCGAGAGTCTGCACTGAATAATAGAACCTTCAGTCCTAAGGGAGGTTCGGCTGTGCTTAAAAGCAGAGCTGAAGATCTAAAGACTAGCTAGAAAGCAAGAAATCCAACCATTTCCTGCTTCCTAGCTAATCTAAATCTCCCGGCACAGCAGAATAGCTGATGGTCGGAAAAAGGAAAAATAGCAATTTAGCAGGCAAAGTTGCCGGGTAAGGAGCGAGTGGGCGGGGAGGGTTCCTGCGGGCCATTTGGGCGGCACAACCTTGTGTTTCTGCGCAGCCTGGATTAATTGCTTTGGGGGGTGCTCTGGGGTGAGATTTCTCTGCAGCCCACCAAAATTTTCTCATAGCCCACTGGTTGGCGACTGCTGGTTTAGAACAAAGTATAATGCACTGATGTAACAAAGGACAAGTATAAATCAGAGTCACAAAACTCAACAGATTTCAAAAAGTGTAAAAATATAAAATGTGCCATAATATACTGAAGGTCTATATTAAAAGGAAAAGTCTCCGTTAATTCACAGAACCTCTCTTGGAATGGTGCTTCAGAGCCTAACTGTTCTGCCAGTGCTTAAACAATTACATACTATTTCCACATGCCATCCTTCTCATTATACAATGTTAATAACCCTGCATCTTTGCTTATTTCTAACTTGATGCTGATTAATAACTATTTGCTAAAGATATTGAAAAATAATAAATCTCAATATATGAATTCCATTATAGTCCTTTCTCCTTTTTTCCCTTTTTCTTTTAGGAAGGCCACTTTTTGAATCATGTCGTAATGAAATATCAAAAGTGCTGAACAAGAAAATTCATGAGACAGCCAAAATAAAGGACTTGAATTTCTATGCTTTTTCCTACTATTATGAGTTGGCAGTTGATGCTGGTTTAATAGGTAATTTAGCAATCAAGCAATAAAGACAGTGTGAATCTCATATCAGAAAGTTGGATTTAGTTCACCAAATACAATAACAAGGAGTTCCACAGGGCATTGATTCTAATTGGCCAAAGCAAGGGAGCAAGAAGAATCTAACTTGTTTCTTTCTCTCTGCCTTCAGAGATTCTTCTCATACGTGCTGGACAAAGGTTAAATATCAGTCATTTTAATTAACCCCAAATCCTTATTTACTAGTAAAATATTGGTGAGATTAAAGTAATATTCTAAAGCTACAATAGGCAGCATGTCAAATGGATCAGGCAATAAATGGTACTGCCTACCAGATTATTAGGAAATTTCCAAGTGTCCACCAGAATTCCTCCATATGTATCTGGGACAGTCTGTTGTAACACATCTTCAGTAGAAAATAATATATATGTACTGAGTCCATTTGCTCCGGATAGCACTTTGTTTAATCTGAAATAGGAAATGATTTCACCGTGGCAGAACACCAGATATAATTTTTTCAATATCCAGATAATCCCATAACTGGTCCAAAGGATGGCCAATGAATACAGTAAGCCAAGCAGTACTTGGGACAAACCCATGGAAGTCATGAATTCTTGAGCCTTTCTGTACCCAAAAGACTACATGGAGGTTATGGTTACAGGTTGAAGCCTACAGTATTGAAAGGCAGAATTTTGCCCATTATGGCTTACAAGGATGGTGTAAAGAGGAAGGGAGAGGGAGAGGGCGGGGGGGGGGGGAGAGAGAGAAAATAAATTTGAGTATCATAGAAAAGTTGGATCTCAGAAACTAGATTTTGAGGTTCTAAAGACTTTGGATATATTTGATATTCACAAAGTCAAAGATAAATAAACTAAAGATTCATTTCTTATAAGTATATCACTGGTGTTATGAAATCCCCCACAATCACCATATTACGTGTGTGTTTGTATCAGCCTACAGAATTGCAAGCAGATAAATACATCTTTCCAAGCTAAAGATAGGTGGCTATGGTGCATTCACATATATCATGGCATAGCCTACATATGAACCTTTGGTAAGGCCTTGAGTGTATCAATAGATGAAAGGAAGCCATTGAAAATAAAGTTGAATGAACTCTCAGAGGATTATTTTAGAGGAACTAATAAATTCACAGAGGAAAGCTTAATGTTTCAGTTTTACAATGCAAATAAGACTGGCATTGTTTCCTCACACTGCTGTCAGTTTATTCTGGCATTCAGTCCTTAAGAATACTCAGGCTTTTCCCATGACAAATCGATTCTTGAGGGAAAAATCTGCAAGGATAGGATTTCTGTGTTAGTTTGCTCAAATGCCAGGTTATCATAATTGAAAAGTCACCTATCCTAGATTATATGGAACGAAGTGGTTCACATGATTAGGATGCTGGGTTGACAATTTGCAAACACGTGTTCAAAGCCCAAGTACTGTTATGTGATGGAGTGAGCTCCTGTCATTTGTTCTAGCTCCTGCCAACTTAGCAGTTTGAAACTGCTAATACAAGTAGATAAACAGGTACCACTTTGGTGAGCTCATTAACAGGGACTTAAACCTACAACTGGGCGTCCCCCAGGCAATGGTGATGTCACTGGCTAATCCTTTCCCCAAAGAAAGTGCTTCCAGCTTGGAGGTATAGTATAGCATCCTAAATTATTAAAATTACATTATGTATCAATTGCTAGTTATTAATTACAATGCACATAAGACATGTTTTACAATTTTAGTTTTTCAAGACAGTTTAAAATCATTTCCTGTTAGAAGTCAGGTGTTATCAGAAACAGGTGCTGAAAATATTGTCAGTAAATGAATGCTTTCTTAACTTTGGGCAGTCTTCCTGTCCGTCCATCCATACTCTTCCTGGGAGAGTATTGTGCAAGAGTGATGACAAATAAGTGTATATTTCTCAGAGCAAGCTTAAGAATTCTATGAACATAATATATGTTGATCAGCAAAAAGTTTGATCAGCTACCCTATGATATTCTGAGTAGCAAGCCAGTTGAATATAGATAAGCATTCCCTACATCTACATCCCTAGATGTAGGGAATGCTTATCTTCAATACAATACAAAACTGATTGGAATAACTTACATTCTAGATATAAATTAAATAAATAAATAAATAAATAAAATCTAAAGGTCATCTAAGCCTTTAATACATTTTAAAACGTTCTAGAGCCAACAGTGATCATCTTTTTGCTGTATATTTCACAAAGTACAAATCTTTAACTCATAATTTTTTTGGGGGGGGGGGGGAAATAGTTAAAGGAGATATACTATATAAAACTTCCCAGCTTTTAGGTTCTCAATCTTTAAAAAGATCAAGATAAACCTTGGTCAAACTTAAAGCCCATATAGGCAACATTAGAAACTTCAAGCATGAATCCATGCTGCCTAGCTGATGACAAGCCAACCACAAAAATGCAGTTTCTGCCAACTGCTTGCAAAAAAAAAAAACGTGTACAGAATACATATGGGTAATCTTGGGATCTCAGATTTCAGCAGCCCAAATCCTGCATTCAGGTACAATTTCAGCTGCAATGTGTTCTGCTATTCTACAGGAATGTCAATTTATCATAATGGCTCACTGGAAACTTCCCAAGATTATGCTTATTCTTTAATGTGGTATTTGCATTGTTATTTTATTTACTGGTTTAGTGAAATAATTTGTAGAAACCTTTATCAGAACCTAGAAATCTTAAGTACAAAAAGATTCCAATTGAATGTCTATTCATTTTGGTAACTCTGAATATTGCAGTGCATTTTTTCCTGTTGAATGTAAAAATAAGACACGTTCTTATTTTAATGAGCACTAAACCTAAAGATCTGTGCTTGAAATGCACACACCACTGTCTACTTAACCATTTAGTAATCATTTAGAGTGGCATCTGTTTTGCCAATACTGCACTCTGTGTTCTAGGACTGCAGAACTGTTTTTCCTCCTCTCTTCCTTTAGATAAAAAAAAAGGAGGGATCCTACCAGTCAGGAAGTTTGAAAGTGCAGCAAAGACAGGTAAGTACTGTTATTTGCATGCCTCAAGATCTAAGGAAGTTTTATAAAATACAATCCAACAAAGGCTCTTTACTATCCAGAGGAAAGTGTTCATATGGCAGTAGTTCTAGCAACAGTCTGCTTTTTTAAAAAAAGGTTTTTATTTTTCTAAACAAACACAGACAAAACAATATATAAAAACATAAAACCATTTTTCAATTACATACAGTGTGTCGACTGGTTGCAATTCTTTTGTGCTATGTGTTCATAGTCCTCTTTCACAAGTCACATAAATTCTCATATTTTCCATTTTATGTATATATATATATAAGTATTATTATCATTATGGTTCTTTCATTTGACAATAACTATTTGTTCCACCACTTCATATAAGATATTCAACATTTTAAACCAATATGTAATGTAACTTCCATTGCCACTTCATCTAATAAAAATACATTCATATATCAATTTCTCTTAAATTCTATTATTTTTATATTGTAAAATTATCTATAAAATATATCATTTCCACACTTTTTTTTCTAACTGTTGATAAAATAAATCCCATATCTGATAATATTGTTTTTCTTCTTGTTCTCTAATTTCAAATGTCAAATTTACTCATTTCAGCACATTCCACTATTTTCTCAATAACTTCCTCCTGTGTTGGTATTTTCTCATTTTTCCAATTTTTTGCAAATACAATTCTAGCTGCTGTTAGTACATTCACAATCAAATATATCAGTTCTCTACTGTATATCTCTGGTATAATACCCAATAAAAATATCTCTGGTTTAAAATCAATATGACCTTTTGTCATTTTTTCCAACCATGTGTGGATTGTAGTCCAATATTTTTTCGCCTCTGTGCATGTCCACCACATATGGTAAAATGAGCCAGGTATCTGATGACATTTCCAACATTTTTCGGATTTATTCTTAAACATTCTTGCTATTCTCGTTGGGGGAAGATGCCACCTGTAAAACATCTTATACAAATTTTCTTTATATGTAGTTGACATTGTCATTTTATAATTTTGAGACCATAGTTTTTGCCATCTCTAGGTCAATGCTGTATCCAAAATTTTTCCCCCATGCAATCATTGTTTCTTTAACTTGTTCTTCTGATTTAACCTCTAATAAATATCCGTATAATTTCTTAATCACCTTTTCATCAGTACCTATTAAAATTTAAGGCAGTTAATTTATCATAAAAACCTTCTGTTTTGAGATCTTTATCATATCTAGAATGTATTTGCGCATATGAAAACCAATTCATTCTTATACTTCGTTGCTCCAGTTCTTGCATAGATTTAAGTTCACCCTTTTCATTCATAATTTCACCATACCTAATTGTTTGTTCCATTTTATATATCACTGGATATAAAAATGCTTCTATAGTTGAGAGCCAGGCTGGAATTTTCAAATAGTGTTGCCTTTTAATCTTCTCCCAATTTAATAATAAAGCCTCTCGTATATAGTGTCTTCTAAAATATCCATGTGTTTTAGTGCCCTTGTACCATAGGAAAGCATGCCAACCCAACAACATATCATGTCCTTCAAGTGTCAATAATCTAGTATTTCTCAATGTAATCCATTCCTTGACCCACATCAGAGTTGTCGCTTGATAATATAACTCCCAATTTGGCAGACCGAACCCGCCTCTTATTCTAGCATCTTGTAATAACTTTAATTTTATTCTTGCTTTTTTCCCCTGCCAGATATATTTCAGCACTATTTTATTCAATTCATCAAAATACTCTTTCCCTAATCTAATTGGAATTGTCTGGAACAAATAAAAAATTCTTGGTAGAATATTCATTTTCATTGTTGATATTCTCCCTATTAATGATAATTGTAAGGTTTTCCATTTTGCCAAGTCTGTCACAATCTGTTGCTTGAGTTTATTATAATTATTCTCTTTAAGTGTGCCACATCTTGCTGTCAAATGTGTTCCCAGGTATTTAACCTTATTTGTGAACTGGATTTCCAGGACTTCCGCCAATTCTTCCCTCTGTTTTACTTGCATATTCTTTGTCAGAATCTTTGTTTTATCTTTATTTATTTTTAAACCAGCTACCATTCCATATTCCTCTGTCTTTTCTATCAACCTAGTCGCTATTGCCAGTGGGTCTTCTAATATAAAAACCAGGCCATCTGCAAATGCTTGTAATTTGTATTCTTCTTTCTTAATTTTCATTCCTTTTATTTCTTTCGTTTCTCTTATATCTCTAGTTAGCACTTCTAATATTAACACAAACAACAGAGGTGACAGCAGCCAACCTTGTCTTGTACCTTTCTTTATAGCAATAGAGTCTGTTAATTTCCCATTAATCATTACCTTTGCTGTTTGATCATGATATATAGCTTCTATGGCTTGAATAAATTTCTTACCAAAGCCCATCTGTTCCAATTGTAATACCATAAATCACCAATGTACATTATCAAAAGCTTTCTGCATCTAAGAATATCAAGGCCATTTGTTTTTCAGGATGTGCCTTGTAGTATATTCCAATGTGTCCAGGATAGTTCTCATATTGTCTTTAATATGTCTCTTTGGTAGAAATCCATTTTGATCGGGGTGAATAAAATTATTTAAATATTATTTGAGTCTTTCTGCCATTACTGAAGCAAAAATTTTATAGTCTGAGTTCAATAAGGAAATGGGTTGATACTTCTTAATTAGTTGCGGGTCCGCTTCCTCCTTTGGCACAAGTGTAATATATGCTTCTGACCATGATTTAGGTGTCCTCTTTTTTAACATAACTTCATAACTTCCAGAAGCAAAAGGTTCAACTGCTCATGGAATATCTTATAAAATTCAGCTGGCAATCTGTCCGAGCCCGGTGCTTTTCCATTATTGTGTTTTTTTAATTGCTTCCGTTAGTTCCATCATCGTTATGTTTCCCTCTAACATCGTTTCAATATCTTTTGGTATCTGAGGCAAATTCGCTTTCTGTAGATATTGTTTAATCTTCCCTTCCTCTATTATCTCTTGTTCATATAACTTCCGATAAAAGTTGTGTACAATTTTTTTCTTCTCTGTATTTCCATAGCAGGCTTGCCCTTGGTCATTTATCAATTAAGCTATTTTTCTTGATTCATTCTCCTTTTTCAGTTTATATGCTAACCATCTGCCTGGCTTATTTGCATCTTCAAAATAGTTTTGCTTAGCATTTCTAATTTTCTGTGCTAGTTCCTCTTTTTCCATTAGTCCCATTTTGTGTTTAACTATGTCCATTTGTATTTTCACATCTTTTTTTAATGGTGATTTTTGAAGTTCTTTCTCAAGTCTCTTGTAATCATCCTCTAACATTTTCAACACTTGTCTTTTCTTTTTGTTTCTTATCTTTGTATAGTCTATTATCAAACCCCTAAGATAAGCCTTCATTGTATCCCACAAGTTTTGTATTGATGTATCTTCCGTTCTGTTCTCCTTGAAAAAGAAATCCAATTCTTTCTCCATTTTATGTGTGAAGTCCTTTTCTTTTAATAAAGCATTATTTAAAATCCATCTAGATCTTTTTTTTTGTCCTTTCCACTTAATTGTCATTGGATTGTGGTCTGCCCAGGTACCAGTTTCTATCTCGATTTCCTGTATGTTAATAATCAATTCCGCTGACATCCATATCATATCTCTTCTGGACCATGATGAATGTCTATTTGAATAAAAAGTATATTGTCTATTTTTAATATTTCTTTCTCTCCAAGTGTCCTTTAGGTTTAGTTCATCTGTCATTTTAAAAAAAAATATTGGCAAGATCTTTCTGTTTTGTTTTATTGTTTTCTGCGTTTTATAGTCCATCTTCTCGTTAATTATTCCATTAAAGTCCCCCAACATACATATATTGTCATATTCTAAGTCAATTATTGTCCTGTGTAATTTTTTTATAAAATCCTTCTTGATTGTCATTTGGAGCATAAATTGCAATTATGCAATTTATTTCACATTATTGTCTATTATCTCCACTATCAAAACTCTTCCATCATTGTCCGTGTAAATTTGTTTTGCTGGAATTGTATCTTTAATGTATAAGACTACTCCTCTTTTCTTAACTCATGTCAGTGAAGTAAATATTTCCCCTAATTTTGGCTGTACCAGTAGTTGTTCATATTGTTTTTTAATGTGCACTTCTTATAGGCAAATTATATAAAATTTCAATTTTTCTAATTTATGAAATATTTTCCTTCTTTTAATAGCAGAATTAAGTCCATTTATATTAATTGTAATCAATTTTTTCTCTTCCATGTTTTATACTTTATAGGAGGGGTTAACAGCTCTGGTTGATCTCACCTCTCATTGTTCTTTAGGTTCCCCATTGCCTCCTACAGCTCCTTGTTCTTGTTGAATCACTTCAAGGCACACCTCTTGTAGTTTGAGTATTGCTTCTTGTCTTTCCCTCTCATCTTCCTTGTCTCTGAAATATTCTGCATAAAATAATTCTGCTTTCTCAATTGAATCAATTCTATGTCTTTGCTCTTGCCATATAAACTGAAGGCCTTCTGGTATCAGCCATCTGTAGTTCACACCTTTCTTCAAAAGAATTTTAATCAGGAATTGATGTTCTCTTCTCATCTCTCTTATTTTTCTAAGTGCTTGTTTCAAGACCACAATCTCCTCGCCTTTATATTTCACTGTTTTCTCTCTTGCTATCTGTAATATTTGCATTTAATGGCCCTCTTCATAAATCTTACCTGTATTTCTCTTGGTAGATTATTTCTCACTGCATATCTTGTAAAGACTCGAAAAATTTCATCTACTCCATCCATCATTTTCTCTTTAGTTATTTCCAGTGCTTCTGCCAGAATTTCTATCATTATTTCTGCCAAGTTTTCTCCTTTTTCTTCCTCTACATTTTGAAATCTAAGATAGAATTCAGATCTATCTATTTCCCATCTCAGCATACTCTTGTCCTGTTCAATCACGTTCAATCTGTTATCAATATCGCCAATCTTCTTATTCCTTTGTTCCTCTCTTTCTTCAATTTTTTGGATTCTTTCTTCATACTTCATCATCATCTGGTGGATATTCTCAACTTTATCATCTGTTTTTTCTGTTCTTAACTTTATATCTTGAACTCCTTGCCAAATCATCTATAAGGTCACCTCTTTCTCTTCCTGCTGTGATATCACTGCTGTTGATCGTTGTCCTCCAGATGTTGAAGAAGCTGTAGTTGGTATTGAAGAACCAGTAATTGATGGTCTTCTACTCATTTTTACAAGGCAGAAGCAAAGAGAAAGAAAAATCTTCAGGTTCTTGTATACCCCTCCAATTAAATCCAGTTGATTAAAAAGAAAACCATAAAAAAGCAAAAATTATAATAAGAAAAAAGAAAAGAAAAAGATCCTCAGGTTCAATACCTTAATCCAAGTAATCAATATGGAAAAAGCCAAACAATATCATAAAAATAGTGTTCCAAATCCAAAAAAAAGGAAAATAAAGAAAAAATAAAAATAAGTAGATCAATATACTTTGAGGTAAAAAGGAATCCAAAGGGAAAAAGAAAAAGCAAAGTAGTGAGGATTAAAAAAATAAAGATTAAAAATTAAAAAGGAAAAACCATTTAACACGGCACTGTCACAGATGTCAGCAAAAAAAAATAGATTATTAAGGGGGGAAGATAAAAAAAGGAAAGAAGGAAAAAAAAAACACTGCCACAGTATAGTGTCCAAGGCTCTCTTACTAAGTCAAGTTCCAAAAAAGCTTTAAGTCTGCTTTTTAACATTTGGGTTTTTTTTTAATTACCCAGCCTGTAAAACAATGGAAATTCAACAAGGAAAGCATCCTTTCTTATGCATGGATCTTACCTACATCAGTTTGCTGTTGAAAGAACTGGGCTTTCAAAAGAATCACATTCTTAAGGTAATAATTTTTAATGTCAATATTTGGAGTAGAATTATAACATCAATATTGAAAGTACTAATAATAGAGGAAAGGGGATATCCAAAATTTTGTTTCACAAATATCTGTCAAACATAAATTAAGGCAGTTTGTTTAAAAATAATAAAGTTTCAACTTTGGAAATATTTATTCTTTTAGAATTTTGGGATAACATTTTGAGTTAGAGAAAGATTTTGAAAAATCAGAAGTAGACATGGGGGAGAGACAGACTAAAGTACTCTAAAGAGGCACAGAAAGAGAGAAACTATGCCTCAGACATTGCATCCCACCTTGAATCATGTACAATAGTTTTAAATGTGCAAAATAAAATTTCTGATTTTAAAGTGTACAAAATTTATTTTGACTGCTCCATTTCATAAACGTACACCACGCACTTCCTGCACAATTTTAGATTTCAGGATTTTAGGAGCTGTGGTGGCACAGTAGTTAGAATGCACTATTCTGACTGGCTCAAGGTTGACTCAGCCTTCCATCCTTCCAAGGTTGGTAAAATGAACATGTGCTGATATTGTAAATTGCTCAGAGAGTGCTGTAAGTATAAAGCACTATGGAACAGTATATAAGTCTAAGTGCTATTGCTATTGCAATTTTATACATTTCAAATACTATAGCCAAGATATATTATTTCCTCTTTTCCCCCTATATTATAAAATTTGGGAGCTCATGGATTCCAAACGGTACTTAAGTAAAACTAAGGCAACACATAAATTGGGTATGTGTGTACTATATGGAAGGCTATTATGCACTGCAGTCTCTTGAAATATATAGATCACGATGTCTTAAACAGCCCACAGAAACATCTCTACTTCCAAGACTTCTAATCATGTTTTCTTTTCATTATAGCTGGCCCAGAAGATTAACAATATTGAAACCAGCTGGGCTTTGGGAGCGATTCTTCACTACATGGATTCACTTCACATGCTATAATATTAGGGATTTACTGCCTGGAGAAAATGAGTCTAGGAAATTGGACCTGATTGATTCCTTTGAAAAAGGGCTACAAATAAAATATATTTTTAAATGTTTTAAATCTTTCAATAAAGGAGGCTGGTGCTTCAGGTGGCAGCTTAAGGTGCCCAGTACTGTCCTGGGATCACAAATACTTTTAGTGTCACACAAAATCAGTTAACACTTATTTTAAAAAGAATAATCCATGACAGCTAAAAGCAGAAGCACGTCAGAAATCAAACCAAATTATTATAACAAATGTCCTTTGATTTTTAATGAACATTTGCTGATGATCTCTGGTTTATTTGATGTTCTTTATAAGAAAAGCATTTAATCTTTAGGCAGGCGTTTTGCCTTTTTTTGATGCAAGCATATAAATGCTAACATCAGAAGCAAGCAACTTTTTAACTACCTTTGAATGTTAGGTTGTAGGCATTCAAATTTTAAAATGTGAAATTTTGGGGTATTTGTTTAAAAACTTTGTTATGCTTTGTGAAACTCTTACTGACACATATTTAGATTACCTTTTGAAACCCAGCTTTTAATCCTTCACAGCCTTTGTGGTATTGGTTTATTTTGGAATGGATGAGCTGGGCAAAATGTTTGTTCCCACACAGAATTCAGTTGATGTTTTCCCCTTGATTTTGACTGCCTTAATTTCTTTCTGGTGTGTATTCCATTCTGTAACAGTCTCACTTTTAAATGGCACAATGTTTTTTGTTCCTGCTGTCAAGCAAAAGATTAGATTAATGTTATCTTGCTATAACTCATTACATGCAATCCTTGTTTAGCAACTACAATTGATTCAAATGAAATAGCTGCTAAGTGATACAAACATTAAATAAGCCACATGTCTGAGAGGCCTCACAAATATCACTGGTTGCTGCCATTTTGATAGAATTCTCTCATGTACTGTAGCAACAAAGCATTAACCTCATTCTGGTGTATATTATGGTCAAGTGCAGAAATTTGGGCAGAAGTGCATGCATTGATTGAAAAATATTTTTACTACTATTTATTACTGTTGTATTTGTAAACAGTTGCTATCTGAAGCAGTTGCTAAACGAGGACAATCTGTATCCAAAACTGATGAAATAATCTTTTCATATGGTCATAGCAATAGCTGAATGAATTTTTTTACATAGGCTAACATCAGGGTAGTATTTGGCCGTGCCATACATGCTTTTTGGAATGTATTGATCAGTTATAAAATACTTGTAGAAGTTTTTGATTGTATAAATTTGTATGATAGCCAGAAAGGTCCCTAGTGCAACATTTATCCCTATATCTGAGAAATAATCTGGAAAGTCAGGAAAAATGCTTGAATGTTCTAGGAACGATTATGTACATTTGTTTAATTTTGGTTTAAATATTAGATTATGTTAAGATAATATGTATGTTCCAAATTTTGTATATATCAATTCAGTAAAGAGATGTCTATTTAAGATTCCTTCAGCTACTAAGTAAACTTCAAATATTTTTAAAGCATTATTTCACAGTCTTCTTTTAAACAATAAAATTTTATTTTTGCATTAAACAAAGATTGGAGAACCATATGAAGGTTACGAGTTGAATTTCAACAGTATTAAGGCTGTTTCCACCCAAGGGTTCTGTTCAAAAATATTTCTACATCCCAAAATGTGCTGGGTCAAAGGTTGAACTTAGTTTATCTTTGGATAGGTTGCAATGGTCTTGAAAGTGTAGTAAAACAAATGTTTTATTTGAAACAATGCAACTCTGGTGATCCTTTTTTATCATCTGCAGAAACTTTTGCGTCATCCTACCATTTGGTTCCAAGACATCAGCAATCACAGCAGAATTTATCTCCTAAATGTCGATGGGGCAGCTGATTATTTCAAAAGGCTGGAAAAGCAACAGAAAATAGACATTTCCTGTCTCTGCCTCTTTAGGTAGGACTGGCAGATACTGCCTGGGACGGATGATCTGTAAAGTTACTAGCTATAAAGCACGCCAAACCGCTTTTGTGATACTAGGAAGAGGAAACAATGACAGTACGAAATCTATGTTTCCTTAGAAACTGTGCCAGTCCTGTAAACACATTAGACATTGCAGGGATTGTTAGAACTGCAGCATGAAAGGATCAACTCACCTCTGCTGCTAGAGTCATAGTGACAATAAATAACTATAGAGAAAAACATCAACTGATATCAACCAAGGCCTTTCTCTTACTAATAGCAGAGACAATGAATTGAAATAGCAGGAAAGAAAGGAAGGATTCCTGCCCTCCCTAGCTACTGCGGTCCTGATTTTTAAAGATGCATTTGATTATTTTGTCTAAAACTGAAATGGTTCACAGTAACACTTGCAATAGAGCAAACGTTGTAGACACAGCATAGTAGCCCATTGTGGAAGTGAAAAGTTAAAGATTATCCAAATATAACTTTACATAATTTAACAGAGAACTTAAATTATGGCATTAAGAAAGTTGGTCTACTGGCCAGTCTAGTTGATAGAATGTGTTTTTATAAGCACAGAATATATGTGAAAAGTCAAAATATTTTTGTTGTTAATTGCTGTTTCTTTTTGGCATGTTCCATATATAAAAATAGACATTTGTACATATCCATATGGATATGAGTTAATATGCTGATAATTGGTTCATCTTTTCCTTGGCTGCATTAAAGGAAGAAATAAACCAGCTGTATCCCTTGCCATTGGCTTGGTTCATATCATCTGTCATTGCACTCCTTGCTACTTCATTGTGATATATTTCCATTAATTGTGCAATCTTGTTTATTTTTATCTTTTCATTCTCTGCTGACTTTTCATTCCATAACTCAGATTAAAGCATTCCTGTAATTGAAGACTGTGTAATCTTATGATGTCAGCATTTGGGAAATACCCAGAATGGCTTGGATATTAAAAACTAGCTTTTGAGTTATATTTGCAGCAAAGCTGGTAGGCAAAAATGTGACTCTCCTGCAGTTTGAAGCAGACATTATAATATGTATAATTTATTCAATTTTTGCTAAACTCCCCATTACATCTGATATAATTGAAACTGTTGACTGATGCAGTGAACAGTCCCAATTATACTCAATTGGTAAATTATATGGATTCCCAGTGAATCCAAAAAAACCTTCAAATAAAGAGGTTTAGATGGAAGCAAGCTATAAAACTGCCTTTGCTTGACTTTTAAACAATGTTGAGCACTGTTGAAATTCCCCAGGGTAATAAAAAGACTAATGTTCTATTAATTATTCAAAGGAAGTAAATAGGATGACTAAGACAGTGGTTAAGATAAATCAAATACCGAACTGGAAAAGAATGTATGTTCTTGAAAAACAAGCTAATAGAGTCTAGTGATACCTGCAGAATATCATTTTGGTTTGATTCCAGATATAGTTTGGAAACAATTTACAGCTATGTACAAAGAATAAGGTCCTAAAATCAAATAGAACAAAGGATTTCATTGTATTAAAAAGTTAATTAGCATATACAATGTGACCTAGTCTGGTACAGCATTCTCGATACTGTTACATGACCAGGTACATCTTGTTTTCTGAAAAAGATCATCACAAGGCTGTTTGTGCTTGACAAGTAAAAATTTAAAGAGAAATTCTAGCTTAACTATTCTATGTCGTTTTTGTGCTACCTTTGTATTTACCTCCACCTGAAATACATAAAACTTCATTCAGTCTGGATTTTGGATTTTTGTAAAAAGGATTGCCTTGTAAGAGATATTTACGATTATTTTTCACATTATAGAGATTTTGGGTCTAGAATTTCATTGCACCATTTTAATGGAAGTCCTTGTCTATATGAAATACATCTACCGTATTTCCCCATGTATAAGCCACCCCTTTTTTCCAAAATTTTCAAGCCCAAAAAGTAGGGGGGTGGCATATACAAAGCAGGTACACTTTTTATACGTGAAAAATGCATAAAATAATAAAGTAGGAATAAACTGGTTTTCCAGCAGTATGCTATACTTTTTTGTAAAAATTGTACGTGATGATACGATTACGAGTGCGAGTACGCGATAGAAATGCATACGCTAGGCATCGGCCTGAATGCTTCGTTCCTACTCTCGTTCCGATGCGTAGATTGCTAGCGTCGCCCGCACCGCTTTCGGCGTCATGACCGAAGTTGTAGATCTAGACGTCGAATTTTGTTTCTTTGTAAATTTTCTTTCTTCATAACTTGTTTCTCTAATAAAATATTTTTTTCAAAACTTCACAGTCCAAAAATTGGGGGGGTGGCTTATACAAAGGGGGTGCTTATACATGGGGAAATACGGTATTCCTAAAACAACATTTGCTAAATGCAGTTTGACAACACAGTGAGGGCATAATTAAGCTCAAAAGAAATTTGATATCTCTGGAAAAATTCAGCTGCAAATTAGATAAGGAAGAAATTTAATATCTAAAGTTATTATTAAAGCTCCATTTTTTAAAATCTTAGTAAATTGACTTGATTTAATTCTGGACATTCCAGCAATTGGTGTAATAACTATGTGTTAATGCAGTCTTCTGTTACTTGACAGAAAATGAAGATTGGATTATTTCACTTTGCCTATATTGTCACGTGAGCAAAATTTTCAGGCCAGGGGTTCTCATTTGGCTTTGAGTGATATAAAAGATCTACGTTTTCCAAACCAAATTTATTTTAATGAGTGTGTGTGTGTGTGTGTGTGATGCCCCTGGTGGAGACTGACTGAGGGAGAGGAGGACCAGCCAACAGGGAGTGGAAGTGTGGCTTCAGAGGTGGTGAAGGAGGCTGGGGAAGGGCAGAGGCCAGCTGAGCAGTCAGAGGAGGACCCAGGCCCATCCCCTCTCCATCCTAGGGCACGCAGGAAGGAGAGAGGATAAGGGAGAGACATGGTCTACTTGGGAGGAGAGGGCCTTGATCCTTTTCATGGGCTGCAACTGTGAGAACTGCATAAGAGTTTGGACCTGCGTTCTGGCAAATGTGCTGGAGACAAAGCATGTTTTATTTTGGTTTGAGGTTATCTTGGTTGGCATCCTTTCAACAGACTGTACCTTGTTATCTCCTTGTATTTGGTAAATACTTACGTTCCGCTGTGGAAATTTCATCATTGTACTTTGTTTGATTTTTATTTTCACCTCTGCTCATTAAGTTCAGACTGTATTGCTTTCTTTTGAAGACTATTTTTGAGTACGTTTTATCTCCAACTGAGAATTATTGAACAATGGGGCCAAGTTGGAGGCATTAAAGAACATTTATTTACATTTTGGATTTTGTTACATTCTGGGTCATCACAGTGTGAAGGCTTGGAGCGGTATGCAAGGCATTGGGGCCTCAGATTTTTCACATGCTATAAGCCTATGAAATTGAAGGAAGGAAGTTCAAATGACCTTACATTTTAATAATTATGGCTAAGACTGCCCTTCCCTCATGGATGCTAGAGAGTAGTCAGAATGATTGTCATTGTGGGGTTGGGAAGATAGAAACAAATGAGAAGGCGATACTAGTTTGCCAAAATTAACAGCTAACTATATAGCACATATTTTAACATCCTTGTTGGTAGATTTTCCAGGTACTCCAGGCATATCAGAAACCACATCTATTGTCCTAAACAATACAATGTAGCAACATTTTAAGGGGCAGTATGTAAAAGCTGGTGCCTGTAACAAGTTAACAATATATTTTCTCATTTTTTATTTCATTTATATTTAGTTTACTTTATTGTCATTGCACCTCATACAATGAAATCGAACACCATCTTCAGTACACATCATAACCATGAAAATAAACACAAACACACATCCTTCACATTCCACACATTGAATTGAAAACCCCGATACCACACCAACAATGCACTATACAATAGAATTCAAAAGAGCTACTGCCCTGGGATAGAAGCTGTTTTTCAGTCTGTTTGTCCTTGTTTTTATTATTCTGTACCATTGGCCAGATGGTAATAGTTCAAAAAAAGGGTGCCCAGGATGAGATGAATCTTTAAGAATGTTTTGAGCTTTCTTAAGGCAGTGGGAGCTATAAAGCTCTTCCAAAGAGGGGAGAGGGCAACCCATGATCTTCTGGGCAATGACATTAACCCTCTGGAGTGCTTTCCTATCTGCTACTGTGCAATTGGCAAACCATGCAGAGGTGCAGTAAGTTAAGAATGTTTGCTTCCTTCTGCCTTCAGCAACTGCTTCTATACCTATTTGTTTTGTATACACTTTAATCTTAATTTGATTTAGGCCTGGATTGCCTATAATGAATCTTGTGTGTATTTCTCCCCATATAGAATCATTTCTTGCCTTTCATATTATAGTTTTATATTTTTATACCTTTTACAATATATATAGTATTGTTTTATGCTGGTTTTTGGACATAGTAATTTTGTTTGTCTGACCTGCCCGACTTAAAAATTCACCATAGCACATGTCCACTTCATTCCAATGCAGTTTCGGTTTACATGTCCATTGGCTCCTTTAAGAAAGTTAGAAGTTGGAGGAAATGGACAGGGATCTATCCTTGATAATCAACTAACCTTTGTAGCTCCTGGTAAGGAAGATTGCTAAATTTCTGAAATGCTTATTGCTGTGACAATAGAACTTTTTGTAAAAGCAGTTTTTTTCCTATTTTCATCTATATAATGGTCAGAACAAGGAGGTACACTCTCCCAAATCCTGGAAACGGCTAATTATTTTAATTCACTAATATTCTGAATGTATTATTTGCCAGTTGCACAAAATGTCCAGGACAGCTTGGGAAAAGTTTCCTTAGGGCAGATGGCATCCCAAGCCTCTGTTTATTCAATTGTATTGCCTCCGCACTTCTACAGACAAGTTCACACCCCTTCCATCAGACTGGTATTTGCTCCTGAAGCAGGGGTGATGCAGAGCAAAAATAAATGGTTCCTGATTCTAGTAAAAACAAATAAGTCTGCAGCTATTCCTCTGAATTTGGGGACAGGTAGTTTCCTACTGGTACCAGGATATCCATGGAATATGAGCAAGTTTGGGAAGTTGTTGATACAGTATACAGATACCTCAGATTTGGGAGCTTGTAGATGCTTTATTGATTAACTTGTTTGAGTGTCACTCAAAATCATACATTGAGTAAGTGATCTATAAATTGAATTAATAAAGCAAACATTTCCAGACATCTGACAGATAACTAAACTTCAGTTGATCACATATCACATGATATCCTAAAGGCTAACAATTTGGCATGAACCACATCCACTTTAAATGGTACTCCATATGCTGACGCCTTAAAAACCACAAGTAATCTGTCATATGAGAGAGCATCAGACCGCTTGATAGATGAACTTTGTATTCTGTTAGCTCCAGTCATTTTTTTCAGCGGATTTAATGCAACTGGTAACTGAAGATGATGTGACATCAAGTCGTTTTTGATTCCTAAGAACTACCCGGATAGATCTCTTCCTCACTTGTTTTTTCAGGTCTCTCAGCTGGGCATTCATAGCCTCTATAACCGAGTCCATATAAGTCTCATAAGCGATAACTTTTTTGGCTACTTGTCTCAAAGGTGTTTTTTTTTTTTGCAAGAGGCAACTGGACTTTCTGATTTTTCTTTGAATACGTTTCGCTTCTCATCCATGAAGCTTCTTCAACTCTGACTGAATATTAGATATTGAGCTACTTATTTTCCGTTCCTGCACAGAGCTTAACGTTCCCCTTCAGCCGGTTTAAGGCTAAGTGTCCTAAGGCAAGACATACATACACAGGACCAAATCCCTCGGATTTCAGGCACCCATCGATCTCCAGCCCCGTTGCCGTAATCGGGGCGCTTAACGCTGGTCTTCAGAGTGCGCATGTGCAGACGCTGCATCGCTCTTTGAGCTGCGCTTTCCAAAGGCAGGAGGGCCCGCTGCACGTTCGGTTGGGCGCCCGAGGGATGCCTTTCATCTGTGGGTGATCCGCTTCGCGCTTCCGCTCACCCGCTTCTGCCCGCTGCTGCTCTGCGCCTCTCGCCAGCATCGCAGGAAAATATCCCGGGACGATCCAGCGCAGAGAAGAAAAGGTGCAAAGAGAGGGAAGCGATAGAAGTGCCACCGCCACCGCCGACTGGTCTTGTTTTGAAAGTTGCTCCGGCTGCCTCGTCCCCACAGCGCAGGCGCTGCCGCAGCGAGGCCGGGCCAAGCTTTGCCAGAGCCGCCAGCAGGAGGAGAGGATCGAGGCTGCAGCTCTTTGCTCTCATCCCACCCCTCACCTCCGATGAACCTCGCATCCAGCTAACCGCCCAAGCGACTGCAGCCGGAGGAAGAGAGGGAGAGCAATCTAGCCGAAACAGCCGCTCGCTCCGACGACTGGGCCGTTCCAGACAGACGACCTTCCTGGGGCCGCCGCTTAACTAGCCGGGATGGCCGTTCCGCTTAGCGACAGCGAAAAAAGGAAACAGATCAGCGTGCGGGGCATCGCCGGCCTGGGCGATGTGGCGGAGATTAGGAAGAGCTTCAATCGGCATCTCCACTTCACCCTGGTGAAAGACCGGAATGTGGCCACCCCGCGGGATTATTTTTTCGCCTTGGCGCACACTGTGCGCGATCATTTGGTGGGACGGTGGATCCGCACCCAGCAATATTATTACGAGAAGGACCCCAAGGTAAAAGATGCGGACCTGGCACTCCGAGCGTGCATGCATCTCCCCCCCGCCCCCCCCCTTCCCCAAGGATTCCCAGATTGACATAGGCACAGGAGGCCTTGCAGGTACAGAATGTGGAAATTTCCCCTCTGCCGGAGAACGTGTGTGGGTGTCTTTGCAGCGAAATTGTGCATCAAAGAGCAATTAGATCATGGCTAGGAAGAATCTTCTCAGCAGGCAACAAATTGGGAGGGTGAAGGATTTGTCAAAGACAAGGAGAAGCTGCATTCATATTGAAATCAGCCTTCCTTAGATGGATCCCTTCTGGACTAATTCCCATCAGCTGTTTTGAAGATGGGCTTGAGGTCCAGCACATCTAGAGGGTACCAGGCTTGGAAAGGTTTACTTATGCCAAGATAAGTATATTAGGCTTTAATGAACCGGTCAACTTGAATGGTTGCTGCAAAAGGTTTTTAAAAGTCTTCTCTGTTTTACCCCTGTATGCAGTGATCTCTCTGCAGCCATAAATCTTTTTCCACTTGTAGCTAACCATGGTAGGAATATTCCCTGATAACAGCTTTTTCTGCTTTTCCCCACGACACTCCCTTCCTCTTTTGCACAGTCTGCAATGAGACAAGGTCATTAGTTCCTTACAGTATCTTCTAGAGTCATCCAGCCATTGTTCTGCTAAAATCACACTAACACAGGACAAGTTTAATATCATTTCAATCATTACAGAATGATGCTCTATATGTTAAAACAGCTTAGGTCATCCTTAAACAGTGGTGTTAAAGTAGCAGTTTTTTCCCTTTATCACAATACCCTCTTAGTCATGTAGCCAAAATGGATGCAAGATTGGGATTGGCAACAGAGACAGCAAATTTCATATCAAGGCGTCAAAAACAGTTGGTACATAACAATAACAATATTCTATCAGTTTAAGAAAAGATGGAAAGCAATTCAGCCCAACAGTAACCAACATGGATTTGTTGTAATTTTTATAAGGAGGGTTTATTAGAAGATCTCTGCACTAAAATTAGAATAAAATCCAAGAAGTTGATTTGGAGAGATGGTTGCCTCAGACTCACCACCAAATAGCTATAATTCAATGTTTTTAAGAAATGTAAGATTATTTCAGCACCTGAACAGGAAAAATCCCAAAACTATTTCTCCCCTCCAAAAAATTACAATCATAATACAACTATAATTAATTTAATAGTCACCACTAGAGAGGCTTTGTTGTTAAAATATCATAGGCCTGATTCAGAAGAAAGAGTCTTTGAGAGAGAAAGATCAACTGCCTTGGAAGAATGAAGAAGCTATCTTCAAATATTGTAAACTACCTTTTTAAAATCTGTTTTTTAGAAATCTGTTGATCTAATGACATGGTGGTCATATAAGTTATGCTGCTTTGGGAATTCTAAGTTATCATTGGAACTTTGTTTTGTGTGGGTCTGGTTGACCAAGAAACACTTAATTCATAAAATGCAATTTTTTAAAATGAATACATGTCTAAACAATCAGTACCTTGAAGTTTCTGAAAGCATTTGAGAGGAATATAAAAGAAAAGCCAGAGCCTAAAATTATTTAATTACCCAATGGTTCAAAGTGTCAGCTGAAAAAAATTCGTTTGAAGAGCATGGAAGCTGTTTAGTGCAACCAGAACCCTTGAACAGCCACAGGGAAATTATATCGCTCCCCACGTTAAGTATTCTGAGTTAATGATATTTACTGACTTAGAGCATAAACAAATTGCTAGCCACTGATTTACTTTTTCAGATATCATCTCATCTTCATTTATTTCAAACCATCTGTTTCAACAGCTACTATCACAATTGTGGGTAATCAAGGAATTATTTATGTTAAACTTGCTAGGCCAGGAGCTTAATTAGATAATATTAAATTCCAAAGATTTGAAAGAATAATTTCTCACAATTCACTTTTTCCTCATATCATAGCCTTCTCTATTCTTTGTCAGTGCTGCTTAAATGTATAAATAAGTAGTGAAATTACAATTCACGCACTGTGCTGGAGTAGCTTTCAAATTTTATTGCATTTGTGGAATGCAATGACAATAAAGGTATTCTATTTATTTTATTTATTTATATGACCACTCACAATAGTGATTCTGGATAGTGTACAAGATAAAACCACAGTGGCTGCTTGATAGGATCGCAATGAATTCTACCATCTACAAGAACCACACAAGGGGTAATGGGATAGAATGTAAAACTTTAACTTTCAGTTAGGTATATTTCTGGCAATGCTGGGCAATAGAGCTATTAAAGTGGCAAATGTCTCATAGGAAACTGAGAAAGGTGATATTTATATTTCCATAGTTTGTAATTGAATCTATATTAATTTAATTCAATTCTAGTCTACCTGTTTATAGTACAAATTCTATTTCTTAATCCTTAATTTTTCATTTAGCAGTTTTTATATCCTTGAACTTTGAATGTTTACAAGGATTTCTTTTGTTTCTGTCTTCATATATTGTCTCTTGATTAAATCTGTTTATAATATCATTGTTAACTTATTTATATATATAGATTTCTAACACCAACAACAACTATAGGAGACATATTTTTAGGTTTCATGGCATTGAAAATAACATTTTTGCAACATATAGAATGAAGCTATTACATTAGTAGATATAATAGCTTAGCCAATATGAATGTTTCCAGAAGTCTTGGGTTATGGTTCCATCACACCTTTGACGTTAGCCCTGCTGGATGTAGTAAATATATTATGAAAGCAAAAAAATTAAAGAAGTCTGTATTAGTCATTCAAATTAGAATGAATGATGTCCATGATATGTTAGCGACACAAATTTGGGCTGTAGATTTTATAGTGTACAAATGTAACAAAGGGGAGTACAAAAGTAGCAAGGGAAGTATAAATATGGATACAGTTCAATACGAGTTTCTTAATTTATATGACTTTCCTGATAGGGAATTAAAAATATTAAACTGCAGATTCATTAAAATGGTGGATTTCAAGGAGGAGTAATTCATTTCTGACTCAGGGACAATTCCAGCAGTGGTCAGAGTTGGAAAGATCTTGAAAAGGCACTATAATAATAAAGCAGAAATAATCTCCAGCGAAAGCCCCAGAGAAGAAGAAGAAAGAGTAAAGGATGAATGCTGAAATGGACAAAGAAATCTGAGATAAATTGAAACTCTGGACTTTAGAGTGAGAAGGAGGAGGAGTTTAAATAATACCACAGTATTATTTAAATACTGTCAGTATTCTGACCTCAATGAAGTGGCCAGTTGTATGATATTTGGAGGCCTGCCCCAATTCCTTTCCCTATAACATTTCTGAGTTGATGGAACCACAATTTTTCAGGTTTCTGATCAACTACTAATTCCCTGTAGTCAACTTAGCTAGAGTGTAAAGGTCAGCAGAAACATTGGCTTTGCTCAGTGACTCAGTCCCATGTAAATTAAGATATAGGCAAAGGACTTCAGTTCTTCCTCTTTTCCTCCCTCCCCTCGTGTGCAAAGCAGGAAAAGCTTTGGCAGTGTCCTCTAAACTCCTCAGCCAGAGGCAACCAATCCCTACTTTTGTGCATGTGAGTGTCATTAGGGCAGCAGCCCTACTAAAGCCTCTCTTTGCTATTCACTTTGCAAAATGTGAATAGGCCTTTGCCCCCTTTGCTTGCAGTTCAGGTGAGAATATATAGATGCAATGCATCATTGGGTATACTTCAAGTGTGTGGACCAAGAATTAGAGGTTATGCTGTGGAGTTTAATTATAGATAGCCAGACCTTCTGTTGCTTAATCTAATGTAGGTCAAGTTGGCATATGCTTTCATTTATACTGCAGATGTCACCTGATTGAATGGGAGAGTATACCAGGTAGAAAAGATCTTACTTTTAAGTCTTTTTGCTCTAGGCCAAAAATGCTCAGATAATAATTAGAATGACAGAAACTTGTCAGTATATTTCATTGGGAGAGATGAATCCAGAATTGCATTGAAGAATTGCAAATAAGGAAAGAGTCTACCTGATAAGCAGGAAATTAGAATTAGAATCAGAATAGAGGTGGAAGGTACCTTGAATTCTCATGCTAGATGTTGCTCTATAGCTTAAAAACCTTACCTCTTCCTACATACAGAATTAGCCGAGTTAGAGTTAGAGAAAAGGAAGCTGCTACCAATTGAAGTAAGGGGCATTAAGGGATCCAGTGATGAGCCGCTCCTCAGATTTGGCCATACTGATAGCTCTTTTAGAGAATTGCCTCAAAAGTATTTGCAATATACAAGAGTTCCTAGATTGGAAAATGAATTATATTGAAAGGATGGCATTTGATTTGATCCAGAATTGCATTGAAGAAAGCTTAGCGTGATCAGCAGAAAGGAAAGGAAGAAAATAAAGATATTAGGGTTAGGCTGCAAGTGATGATTTGTAAAGTGTTGATTTCAAAGTAAGCGTCACAAATTTCCATTGGATTTGGTCCCAGTGAGTGTGGTAGAATTTAACTGAATCTTTATATAATTCGACACCATTCACATACCTAAAATCTACCTGTTGTGTATTTGCATACAAATGGAGGACTTCTTATGTGCCATGACCAGATTTCTTAGTAGGTGTGTGTTCTGTAGGTAACTTCTGGGCATGCTTTGATGTGTATAATTAGCTCATCTTGGGCCACAGTCTTGCCCATTCTCAGCAAGTAGCATCCCTTGAACCCACAATGCCCCAGAGCAACATCTAGCATGAGAATTCAAGGTACCTTCCACCTCTATTCTGATTCTAATTCTAATTTCCTGCTTATCAGGTAGACTCTTTCCTTATCTATCAGAAATAATCTGGTTCGCCTAAAAGGTCAAATTTTAAAGTACTTTGAGTTTAGATTAATGTATGTGAACCTACCCATTATAACTTATATTTGAAACGAGTCGCTATAGCTTAAAAACCTTACCTCTTCCTACATACAGAATTAGCCGAGTTAGAGTTAGAGAAAAGGAAGCTGCTACCGATTGAAGTAAGGGGCATTAAGGGATCCAGTGATGAGCC